CACAAAGCGCCAAACATAAAGGAAATAGTGAAATATGAAGCTCTGTCAGCCTTGACTTTCCTCAAGAGACAAACTGCTATCACAACTGATGCCTGACCAAGTGGGTTACAGATGAAACTTGTTGTAATTTAACCATGTATCTACATGCACTAACACGCATCTCTGACATGTACCTGAAACTTTTGCCAGAGTGTCCCTGCTGAAAGGGAGAGCTCTGGGAGTACAGCTGTTGACCTCCAGCTGTAGAGGAGGGAACCATCATCTTCTTATCGCCCGCTACACATACACATACACACACACACACACACACACACACACACACACGGAGACACACAAACACACAGACACAGACATCAGAATTGTAGAAATAACAGAGACAACAGATGATAAAGACAAATATCAAGTTAAACAAGCAACTCTAAGTACTTATATAAACACAGGTGTGTGTGTGTGTGTGTGTGTGTGTGTGTCTTACAGCCAGAGATGCTGGTGTACATCTCAGCAAAGCGTGGGTCTCTCTCCTGGGAGAACAGGGCTTCTGTCTTGTCAATGCTCTTCCCTGCCTCATGCACTCCACTGCTGACGCTGGCCACGGGTACCTGAGGGTTGGGGTACATTTTAATGGTGGGGAGAATTTGATTAAAACATACATCTGCACATGTACCTAGATACAAACAAAATAAATGTCTCACAAGCTGGACGTACATCTAAATCATTTTCATGCAAATTGGAAGAGGAAGCTGAGACGCCAAGCAAAAAGATAAAAATGTAATTGCCACCTCACAGTTGTAAGCTTCTGTCAGCCCATTACGTTATAGTTTACATCTATGACGTTCCAGACTCATATAATATAAACTACTAAAGGCTAAGAAGTGTGTAAATTGATTAGGAGAAACAACAGAGTCACATTTAATGTACATGTTTGAAACCTTGATGAATAAAGCTGACTCTCTTCAGACACATGGATGCGTTTATGACAGTGGACAGGACTTTAAATTTAGATGTTGTTTTTATACAACCTTGGAACCCTGAGAATATTTTGCTGCTGAGGACTTTCTGCTCTGAGACACCAGATAAACACTGGTCCTGTTGTAAAAAGACTGTGTTAATTTATTATTAAACTCCTCACAAATATATCATGTGAAAGTGTGTATTGCTTCACACCACCTCTTGGTCTGTAGCAACATGTTGTCATTCAATATACAACAAAAATCTTTCATGAATACAAGACACAGTACTGTCTCTGTGCCATACATCACCTTCAAAGTTGTTGAATATTCCACAACTATATCCAATTATTTCAGCTAAAATTCCACAGATTCTGCAGGTATGTTAAGTGGGCTTATGGAGTAGTTGTGAAGTACAAGGTTACCTGGGAAAGATCGTAGGCAGTAAGTCCATCTCTCTGGTGAACCTCTAGCTCTGCCTGCTGCTGCTGTAACTGCCTGCAAAACAAAATAAATCATATACGCTATCAGCACCTCAGACTACAAACAGACATAGACAGTGCTTGGCTGAACTGAAGCTCCTGGAAATATAAATTCAATACAATGAGCAAACCAAAACGATGAAAAAGAAAATAGTTCAACTGAACCTTATGTGACACAATTAATGATAGACAGGAAGAAACAGGAGGTAGCTGTACAACAGTGAACAGGGACAGAGTGTAACCTGCAGAAGAAGCATGGACCTAATCAGGCATGTGAACATTTGTGTGTAAACGCAAACACAATAAATTCTCATGAAATTAAAGTATCATCTGTAATCTGTCCTCACTGGGACAACGACGCTGTCTAAGCTGTACAAAGTGTTGTCATATGTTGTTTAAAGGCAAACATCACAACTCAACAGTAGGATGAAATCCCTGCTATCACCAAGAGAGAACACACGTGATGACTCTTATAACTGTGCGTATTGGCCCTTTTGTAGCAAGAAAACTGAGAAAGGAGGCCTAGCTTTAGCCTCCCTTACAGGCATAATGTCAGCAAGTACGAATTTAACACAGAAGTTAGCATAACCTGGGCTACCTCAATAGTTTGTTTCTGTCACACCTTAAAACTATGAATGCTTTAAGTTTTTGTAGCTCAGCCCTCAGGAAACAAACTCATGTAAAATTTGAATATTCACAGCTGAAAAGATCCAACAGAGTTAGTGAAATAAGTGGGTATCTAGATACCTATCATATTTCCACTTCAACACTATTTCACAATATAGTAAACAGACTCAGCATCACCAGACCTGAGAAAAAAAGAATCTGAAAAATGTGTTCTAGTTCTTTGTTTTTTTTTTTTTTGTCTAACCATCTAGAACACTGAAATTCGTGACTAAATATGCAGACTGTCCCACTATTTGAATGTCAGCTGAGTCTTTGTATGCAGATTCACGAGTTACTTTGTACAATGTTGTTCACTCATGTCCTGCACATTCTCAGATCTTCCACTGTAAACACAATTTGACAGAAGGCAGCGCGGGCTGAGGAGTATGTTGCCACAACAGGTCATCAGGTTTATCAACTTGTACTCATGGTCAATGATAGTGCAGCAAGTTTTGCAATCACAGCTGAAGATGACTTGAGTTCTGCTGCTGCACCGAACAGGAGAGGAAACAGACCTTTCAGCAGCAGTAGCTGCACAGATTCACAGCTCTCAAATCAACAGCTAGCTACTTGCCCTTTCAATCATCAGATTGATAGTGTATTACGAGTAAACTGTCCCATTTTGGCAAACAAGTCTATTCCAGCCATGACCACGTGTGAGTAAGATGAACAGAAGCTAAAGTGACAATTTAAATGTAGAGCCTATCAGAGAAGCAGGGGCCAAAAACGAATGCTTCTTCTGAGCCGGTGGGACATGTCTGTGGTGAATTTATTTCAAAAGCAAAGTGCTACTAAGCAAAACGCTGTAGATAGATGACAACATTTTAAACTGAAAAGACTAGATGGAGGGTTTAAAAAAAAAATCAGGACAATTAAAGAAATGCGGCAAATATGACACATGACACAATTTGCTAATTATACTGTAACTTCTCAGTTCTATTCACAAAGAAACAGTAAAAGCCAGCCCTTGGAAAAGAAGAATTGTTTCAAATAATGTATTAATCCATGAACTAAAACTGGAATATGTGTAACAATAATTAAATAATAACACAGTACTTGGGACAAGTGAATAATGTGGCAACTACCAGAATCACTATTTCTTTGGCATATGCATTTCTATTGTAAGTTTTACATTGACCTCATTTAGAATACTTCTGTTTTCACTTCCACACAAGCTATGTACACTCACTGAGTATAAATTCAGAATTACTGGCATCAGTGATGCATCTGATTATCTGTCAATATAAAAGAGTTACATGTGATTAAAAAAACAAAACAAATCAGTGGTACAAACATGTTTTATGAATCAGATATAACTTATTCAATTTTTACCTTTTTGAACCTTTATGATTTTTTTCACGTTCCTGCTGTGTTCCATATACAAACATGTGCCTGAAAGCTATTAGCTGCATGTTGACACTGGTAATTGGCTGAGCTCATGGCAGTCCTTGTTATGCTGAGTGTGTCCAGGTGGAACGGTACATACAGTCAGAGTGTGTAAGCCTCTGAACTCATGTCGATCAGTGCTCAGATGAAGGGTTGTGCCTATTCACCTAATGTGCACAGAATTCCCATAACTGTTGACTGAATCAACAGTGAGCCCTCTACCCAAACAACTCTGTATGCAACTGCTTGTTCAGGAATCTGTAACAAAAGTTCTACAACAAATTACACATCAAGCACACAAGCACTATACCTTTCATGGTAATAATGCTCAAAGTTTCCTGTATGAGACTGGATCAATACACTGACTTTCCCTTCTAGCCTCCCTGCATCTTTTTTCTGCTGATTCAAGGCATCAGTTTTTTTCAGTATTGCATCCTACATATGATCAGGACATCAACACTGGTTGAAAGCCCTTTTCAGTGTTGTTTCAGTTATACAAGGATGACGCCGTCATATTTTGTATAATAAACCACAACTGATTCTATTTAGTTTGATTTCTAACTTGAGTTACTAACTATTTATGTTCCAGCATATTGAGCTGAATTACACTGTACTGTATTTACAGAATCCTAACACCATTTTTAGTATAAAGTTAATAATTGCTCACAAGAAAGCTTTCTGGACTCTGTGTGTGATCTTACGTACGGTTAACCAAAAAGATGCTGCTCTCCTAAGAGTTCTGGTATTTTATCTACGCCACTGCAGATCTTTTACTTGCTGACATCAATAAATTTGATGTTTAGTTAAGGAAAGCTCTGGGTTTTACACAGTGTGTGCCTCACATGTTGGAAATCTCGTAAAACAAATGAACTCAATAGTCAGTATTCATGTGTCTCCACGCATTCTTTGTTCACCAGTTTGGCGGCTGTTTGCAGCAGTGACACAAAATGTAAAAGTAAAAGATAAAAAAGGTGACATTTGAAAAGCCTACTTGACGTTGGTGTTGGTGCAGATGATGTACTCGATCTCATCAGAGTATGGGTTCTGGAAGGTGAAGCTGCTGGTTCGGATCAGCATCCACTCCCTATTTTTCATCCGGAAACGATACATCACTGACAGGACCTGACCCTTCAATTTCACCACCTGCAGAGAGAGAGAACACACTGATGAATACTGTTTCTAATACTAATTATCCAGGTAAGTCTCAGTGATTTTTCCTTTTATTATCATAGGATTTTATTCAGATTTCTCAAATGTACAGTGTACGCTTCCCACATCAACAAAATGAAACAAAGACCCCTGGTGCTCTAAACTACTAAACAAAAACAAAATATGGAGCAAATCTTACAAATTGGTACAGTCCCAGAATGAATGGATCATATAATAAAATATAATAATAAAACTGCAATCCCACATTTAAAACAATTCCCCGACATCCATCCATCCATCCATTATCTATACACTGCTTAATCCTCACTAGGGTCGCGGGGGGGCTGGAGCCTATCCCAGCTGACTTAGGGTGAAGGCAGGGGACACCCTGGACAGGTCACCAGTCTATCACAGGGCCACACTTAGAGACAGACAACCAAGCACACTCACATTCACACCTACGGACAATTTAGAATCACCAATTAACCTCAACATGTTTTTGGATTGTGTGGGAGTAAGCCGGAGAACCTGGAGAGAACCCACGCTGCACGGGGAGAACATGCAAACTCCACGCAGAAAGACTCCAGGTGTCCTCACCGGGACACAAACCGGCGACCTTCTTGCCGCGAAGCAACAGTGCTAACAACTGCTCCATCTTGCAGCCCTTCCCTAATATATGTTAACTATATTTAATAACTTAATCTCTTTAACAGTATAGTTTCAATTAGATAAATGTAAATGTTCAACAACATATCTCGCAATAAATTCCAGAATTCCATCCATTTTAAATCCTTTTGTTTAAATCTTGGTTCCACAAAGGTACTCTAGATTGCAGCAAACAATGATTTCTGCAGGATTCACTAAAGGTTACCTGTTAGTTTATTTCTTGTCTCTGAATTTAATGTAATTTCCTTTAAAGTGCTCTGCTGTCTAAATGATTGCAGTTTGGTATAATATATGGTGTAAGTTTGGTGTGCGTATATATATATATATACATATCAGAGTGGAATGGATGTGAATGTTTATATATATATAAAATCCTCTACTAGTTAACCTTAAAGAAGTGATATATCCACAGTCAGTAAGCACAAATTCAGAGAAAGCATTAAGACTTACCATTTAGTCAACAGTCAAGTCTTGTCTAAGGTAACTGAAGAAAGCCATTTCAGATAAAGGTCTTCCTTGTAAAATTTCAACACTTCACTAGGGCCACCCTAATTGCAATGTCAAAGTGTCCAATGTTGTCAATAAAAAAAGTAAGTGTGTCTGGACTGTCCAGACAACAATATATCCATGTCATATGTCCATATCGTTTGTTGCAGCTGGAAGCAGATGAGGCAGGTATTCATTCCACACACTCAGTAGTAAGGGCAGCGGGAGGGGCCCTTTGGGCTGGAAGCCCTCACAGTGATTACAGTCTGTATGGGGAGCTGAGCCACTGGTGGTGAAAATATACAGTATTTACAGTATATACGGTATATAGGAGCTAGCAGGAATAGGGGGATCGGTCAGTAGGCAGTCAGTCATGGGGGTAGCACTGATCTGAGGTTGGCACATAGCAATTTAACACCCACCTTTTTTAATGTAATCTGTCTCATGTAAAAAGGCTACAGCGATTCAAAAAATGGTTTTAGTTGTCAATACAACCCATACCGTGAGCCTTACAAGCTGACCCTACCAAGTGTGGCGACCTAGAATCCTGCTGCAACATCCAACGACCAGCTCCACGGCTGAGAGTGGGAACAAGACCTGATAACAGCGACTTTACACATGTTTTAAGATAATCTAAATTACTGTTTCTTAGTTTCTGCCAATTCAGGCTGTGTGCGCTGAATTGGTAAGTGTCTGAAGAAGTGCTTTGACTTTAACTTGCATGTCAGAAGCTGTAGCATTATGAAAGAAGCATATGCCCCTAATCATGGGTTAGACTGAATGAAAACTGAGCACCACTGTGGCAGGGTGGCTTATACTCAACCTCCCCAAAAAAGCATGATGTCCCTGAATCAGGAAATGAAGTTCGTCTCTAGAAATGGATTTCTCACTGGCATCAGACAAAGAAAAATATCAGACTGTCTGATCCTGGTCTATTCAATAATCTTCACCTGGAGGAAGAGAACCAAGGCCACAATGGCGGTTGCTTGCTTCGTGCGGCAGACCACTAGCAGCACATTACCAGCGGTCAGAGAAGAAGAGGAGTCGACATCAGCATGGAAAAATGTGTGCTCATCACTAGCCAGATCACACTGGCATATGATGGATGTACTGGAGCCTCGCATGCCAAAATTCCATAGCAGTTTAAGAGGACAGGTGTGTGAGTCACCTAACATCTTCTATGGGAAAATGAAAATGCTGTGCTTACATCATTGATAATAAAATTTAGGTTGAACTTTTAACATTTGGCTGCAATTAAGAAAAACGTAAGCCTGTCCTCAAAAGCTTTCTCTGCTGATGTGAAACACGTACAGGAGAACGTGAAGCTAGAACTTACTGACAAGCAACGTGAGGATACGCCAGTGGAAATGGAAATGTCCAACTTTCTGAAGGTGAGATGCAAAGCCAATAGGATGCTGAGTTTCTTTGTTTTTACATATGATTTGTTTGTTTTATTTGTTTTTACATTTGTTTTTTTACATTTACAACATATGAGCATCTTCTTATGACTCTGAACAAGAAAAAATAACTTCAAGTCAACCCTGTGATGCAGTTTAAATCTGTACTACAAGACTTACACCTGAGCTGACAGCAATTCTTCAGTTTACTTTGATATTACTATTTTCTTACGTTTTGATCTCATGGTCTCCGCAGTTGTCAACTTTTCAACTGCCACGAAAAAGAAAACTTTAAATTAACAGCTGAAGTTCAGTCTTACCTGTTGGAAACTTTCTCTCAGGTGACTCTGGTCCTCAGGATGGCAGAACTCTAGAATATCTTTCCCCAGTAAGTCCTGCAAACAGGACAACAGTTTGTTGATAGAAACTTTGCTTGTCAATAAACAACTTTAAGTACAGCAAACCTCTTAGCATATAGTCTAGCAGAGTCAGTAAAGTAAGTCTCAGATGTGACACTTGTTAACACCTATAAGTGAATTTTTGCAAAACAGTAACAGATCCAACAATTCCATCTCAACCAGACCATTTTCTATCCACCTTATATCCCCTCAGTAAAGATGGCTTGAATCAGCCTGGAAAAGACATTAATGCGCATTGGGCAACGTGGAAGATCTGCAAAAGCCTCTGAAACCATGAATCAAAAAATCTACTAATGAAAAATAGTTTGACAGAGACTGCAGACATCTGAGAAACACACATAGATGTCTATCTAATCAAAAACACAGACAACCTGACAACCCTAAGATCTGCTTTCAATATTGGAAATTACTCAAAATATACAGAAGAACACTTGGAACTAAAAGAGAGCAACATGTGCAACACCAGCGTGATATAACTGAAGAACCCATTGACTTTCTTTATTGTGTGAAGCTGGTCAAACAGGAGGTTAAGGTAGCATAATTGAAGTCCCTTAAATTGTTCTAAATACTGCAATGAATGCATCAGGGCACTGGGTCTCTATTCTAGCAACAGCCTCATGAATAAAGTGGCATGCTAATACAGCCCCTTTCCACAGTGGAATGTAACGATAACAACACTGTGAGTGAACTCTCTCGGTTCGTAGCAAGGTCTAAAAGTTCAATATCTGGACAGCAGATATGCCTCCTTACTGTAACACAACAGGGGTTACACCAAGTACTGTTTATAAATGTAAACTAGTCCCCCACCTTTGTTTTTTCAACTTGCCCACACAACTCTGTTCTCATACCATAGATAAGCCATGTATATTCACACAGAAGTAGGAGTAGAAGGAGTAGAACCAGAACATGCCGTTCTTGGTTAACCATGTCTCAGTAAAACACAAGCCGACACTCCCCCATAGTTCTTCAGAAATGCCTTTAGCTCCCCACTTTTTCTGAGCTTGACAGGGTTGATGTTCTCCATGAGGACTGACAGTAACTCTGGCCCTACATCCATGATACGGTGTCTTCCTCTGAGCCACGATGTTGTGTTTAACTCTGGATCTCTTCCAGTGTAACACGAAGAGGGGCTCCCTTGTGTATACTCTTTTCTCTCACAGTTTTATTCATCAGTAGTCCCGCAATAAAAAAACATCAAATATATACTCCAAAACAAAACTGAGGCCAATATGCTACAAGCACACTTAATATGCTGCCAAAACAAACTATCTTGTAGCCTTGCACACACTAATTCCTACTGGTAGAGTATACACCAATAAGTTCTGAAACAAGGATGCATCAGGTGCTACAAACATATCCTGACAACAGATAATGCTGCATAGTTTTGACAGTGAATGTAATTTTACGGTTGATCAACAACCATGAGGTCCAAATCACTGTTCATATATTTTCCTGTTTTTTGAAATTATGTGGATCATCTATCAAGACATTAAATGCAGGAAAAAGTGATTCAAACACTTTTCCTTAAAGATGACAGGTACTTGTCAATGGTATAATGTGGGGGATACAATAAATAAGAGACCAGATATTTAATTTGAAAATTAAGATAAGGTTAATGAAATAAAAGACAAAGAAGCCTCTGCAGGAATACAACAAGTAGAGGCAGAGTATTATCTCCAAACACAGTGTATTTGTTGTGAATCATAATAGGAAAAAAAAACATGACTGGTTTCTGAAGTAATTTAGCTGAGGCAGTCAAGAAAAGCACAAGCTTACAGGCCACAGGAATGTGTTTAAAAAAAACTTGTGCAGGCAACCAATGTTTTTCATCTAAGGCTGCTTATTTCTATTTTGAACTCAAAAACTTGTATCTGTAACTGATTATGCAAAGTACTGCAAAGCCATTGAATATCCTCCTCATCTGAGAAGATAGTATGACTGGGTTATTGCAAGCGAGGCAAACAAGAATTCAAAATAAGTATTTATAATTAATAGCAGAACAGTCCAATTGCTGTAAAAGGCAGAATGAATGAATCTTTTACAGTTAATACAACTTCATTAATCGTGCTTCTATAAAGGAATTAGAGGCCGAATTACCACCTTAGGATCTTAAAAACAAAACCAGAACCCTTGCATCCCAATCTCCAAATTGTATTGATATTCACAATATAAAGTCTTTAATTAGCTTAGCTGACCTGAGGCTGATAACCAATGACATTGATGCAGCGCGGGTCGACAAAAGTGATGACACCGTCCGAGTTCTGACGTGACAGGAACTCTGTGGGAACCGACAGACCATTCATGTCCATAGAAACTGGGGAGCTGGTTACCTGCGGGAGGCACAGACATATTTAGGATGCATCATTTAGGCACAATGAAGAAGATATCTGTGAGGTTAAAAGGAGGATTGGAGCACAATTACAATATGTCAGTGTGATGCACAAATAGGTACTGCTGACAGTTTACTACTGGCATCACAGTATCACAAATACCCACATTAACTCCAAAACTCTATTACAAAACAACTTGAAATGATTCCCTCTATTTGGGTAGTGACCGCCAAATGGCACAAAGTCAACTCAAAGTAGCTGCAGAAAGGTTGTAGTGCATCACTGGACTGTGGCATGAAGATTGAGAGCAAGACAGTAAGGATTACTAGTTAGTGGTAACCACCGCCTTGTCAAAAACATTGGCATCATGTCCTTATAGGATAGCAAGACGTCTGTTATTGAATGAGGAAGTAACAGTAACTTTTTAGACAACAAATAATAGTCCATAACCCCTACATAAAACACTTTACATTAAAGGGATTGTCTAACCAAAACCATTTGTCTAACAAATAGTGCTGTTTGTTAGAGGCCGCTGTTCGGACTTGTGGTCAGAGGGTCATCTATTTTCAAAAAGGGGGAATGGAGTGTGTGCTGTAATTATTGGTGCACACACTTCTCAGCCTCCCCAGGAAAGTTATTCAAGGGTGCTGGAGAGGCTTTAACAGACTGTCAAATCTCTGATTCAGGGGGAGTAATGTGGATTCGGTGCTGCCTGTGCAACACTGGACCAGCTGTTTACCCTTGAGGAGTTGCTGAGTGGGCCGTGGTAGTGTTACTATCCAGCCCACATGTGTTTTGTTGACCTGGAGAAGTCCTACGACCAAGTCCTCTAGGGAACCCTGCGGTGGGTACTGCAGGAAGGCATAAACCCAGAACTTGCTGAGGGGATTTACATATCTCAAGGGAACACTTGAAATTACCCAAGAGGAACTGGAAAACTTTGCTAGAATGAGGGACATCTGAAATGCCCTGTGTAGCCCACTGATGCCATAAAAACACCCTTCTTGTAAGATCAATATATTTTTTAGAATTTCTGAATATAATATCTTAGAAAGCAGACTAGCGTCAGAAGTAGCATATATGATTTCTGTTTGTGAGAGAAAGTTTTAATTCTGTTCTTTATCTTATATTTGGACAGTGGAGGCTCCGTGGTTAATGCTTTGGGCTACTGCTGTGGGCACCTTAGTGTGGCTGACCCTGCGCTCAACAACAGCTTTCTAACAAGCTGGTTTATGCGAAAAGATAAGTTCCCCTCAATAAAGGACACACAATAAAATTAAAAATATATATATATACACACTATCCACAATATCCAAAGACAAGATCCACACAGCAGAGACCACTGAAACCCTTCTGTTCTCCCTCCAAATGCATTTGTCTTAATAAATGTCATACTTTGATGAATAAACAGCCCAAACCTCCATTTGTCCATTTAATAACACACAATGGACAATTCAGTCAACAGTCTGACAAAAATCTTTTTCTCTGCAAAGTAAAAATAAATTTAACCAGAGCCTTGGTTCAGACACTCTTGAGGGAATAAAAAAAACGAGAATCACGTGACCAACAGGACAAGCTAGCACTATAAACCCTCCAAGCCTTAAACTATATTACATATTTTTATATATAAAAAATTCCCCTCAGCTATCCAGATCTATTATCATTTGATACAACGTCCCAATTTTTTATAGCAGCTATATATATATTATTTATATCCAGGAGGGAAAGAAAACATTTCTTATTATGAAACTGTTGTGTTTTTACATGTAATAAAATCACTGCATTGCACCGTAAAAGATTTGCAGTAGAGATGTCTTTAAATGATTGTGTAGGGGAGACTATCAGGAATCTGGTGATATCAGAAACAGGATTGTGGGATACTGTATCTGAAATGTAACTTATGAAATGGAAAACACATGTGCTTAGATGTCATTTTATTAACTATAGTGTTCACATGCACTGCCTATTTGCATAGGTGGCAAACTAGGAAGGTGACATTACAAAGCTCTGTCTTGTAATATGAAATTAACATATCAAATATGTTATGCAATGTTTGCATTGCATAGCCATCGTAACTGCCATCGTAGCTGCTAAAACTCAGGTGTTTACAGTGTGCAGATTAACAACACCAGTATAAATTCTTCATTTGTACTCACTATACAGTTTTCATTTATACTCCATCAATACTGGTAATAGTTACCTTAGCATGCATATTTTTGTCCATTATTATTTCTATTATAAGAAAATCCACTTCGCAGATCACAGACCGGCCAGGAAGGTGTGTTGTGTCTATTAAATACCATTTAATACATGGTATCTGGTTGAAAATATGAAGGTAACTTGAAAAAAAATCAATGATATATATGGGGGACATTGGATTACTGCATACCATGTAAAAGCTTTAACATCACTATGACACTGATATTTCCAACAATCCATGATTAATGTCAGAAATGTACTTTTTCATTGTACTTATAAATGAGAACACTCACAAGAAAAAGTTTAACAGCACATAAACTACAATTTTACTGAGCATGAAAACAATGCATATAAATTACTAACTGTAAGTCTGGCACTTCATGGTGATGAGGTTCAAGCCGTAGCCTGCACACTACAGTAGTTCACTACAGTAGACTAAACACTGAAGTCACATGCATGCCCCTGCAGTCTGTGAGTATTTTCTATTCAGTCAGATTACATTTAAAAATAAAAAAGAATGACAACAGACCCTGTCAAAAACAGTTTACAACCTATATTATTCTAAAAAATGTTCATCATTGTTATTTGGTGGGAGTTTAAAAAACCCTGACAGCTGTGCAGGAAACAAAGAAGCTGCCTTGTATTCAGAGTCAACCACAAGGCGTTTAGGCAACTTAAAATCTTGCAAAGGAGTCAAAGTATGTGATTAAAATGTGCACAAAGGTTAATTTTTAATTACTAAATTATAATTTTAAGTTTCACTTTTGTGTCATCTTTTAATTCCATTACTTTCTCTGATGTTTTCGGTTTTTGTTGTGGTATTGTTTCAATATCTGGATCTGTTTATTTCAGCAGGTATCATGACACCACTACAGAGTACCTCAGAAAAGACTGATATTTTGCACAGATAAGTTAGACATGTTTGTGATGTGACAGGCATGTAGATAGCAAATACAGGTTTAAAATAGGTAGGAGAAAACATATTAACTGAGTCTGCTAATCTGAGCCAGTATATTTTTGTTTCAGGTACACACAAATACACTCAGAGAGGCTTTTTCAACATGGTTAAACTGAATTTATCACCACATACCTGCAGTCTTCCAATAGCCACTAGGCAGTATTTCCCCGTCTGACCTGCCTCTGTGTCTTCTTCTGGTATAGTCATGCCTGAGAACGAGAGAGAGAAAGAGACATTGTATTTGCTGCTTGAACTTGCAGCAGTAAGAGGTAATCTACTGGCTGCCACTGCTCCTCTACAATGACATATAAATTGCATTTTCACGGAGTTTGCCAACATATTTAAATAAATATTCAAACCTGGTCCTCTCTGTCTAGTACAAGTAACTCTTTCAAAGAGAATGAAACACCTTACAAACACAGACAAAGCAATACAAATGTATTGGCACGTTTTCACTGTTTGTTAGCTGTAGATGCATCTCTCCATTACAATATGGTGGGAAATGTTCAATTCTTTTTATCAGACATTGCTCAAAGTGAAAATTATACATATTCTAGACTCATTACACATAAACTGAAATACTTCAAGCCTTTATTTGTGTTAACTTTGATGATCACAGCTTACAGCTCATGAAAGGCCCCCAAAATCAATCACAAATTATTAGAATATTTCAAAAGATCAACAAAGAACAATTACAAAAGAATGTATAATGCTAAACTATCCATACTCTGAAAAGTATGTTAACGTATGCTCTGTCAATACTTGGTCAGGGCTCCCTTTGCTTGAATTACTGCAGCAATGTGGCTTGGCAGGAAGGCGATCAGCCTGTGGCAGTGCTGAGGGGTAACGGATGCCCAGGTTGCCCTGATGGTGCCCTTCAGCTCTTCTTTATTGTTGGGTCTGGTTTGTCCCATTCTCCTCTTGACAACACACCACAGATTTTCTATGGGTTTAGATCTGGTGAGTTGACTGGCCAATCAAGCACTGTACTGCCATGGTTTCCCTGCTGGGCCCAGGTTAAGACGCTTCGGACATTGTTGGGTGTTCAGAAGTGGCTTGACAATAGGGACGCCAGACTTCACACTCCCATTTCCTGGATTCATCTGTGCATGGTGGTTCTGGATGCACTGGCTTCAGTCCACTGCTTGTGAATCTCCCCAACATTCATGAATCTGATTTTTTGACAGTCCTCTCAAGTCTGTGGTCATCCCTTTGGCTTGTGCATTTTTTCTACTACACCTCCTTGTGGAGAGTGTCAATGATTGTCTTCTGGACAACTGTTGAGTCAGCAGCCTTTCCCATGACTGTAGCTGTGTGTACTGAACCAGACCGACAACTTAAAGGCTATTCACATGTTTTTTGAGTAACTTCGCTGATTAAAACTCTTCTTAGGACTGTGTGAGGTCTCGGGGCCCTTGACTGACATCTCTGTGGCCCCCTGAGAAACATTCATGAAACATGTGCTGTAAGCTGTTATCATCAAAGTTAAAACACATACAGGCTTGAAATATTTTTAGTTTACGTGCAATGAGTCTAGAATTTCACACTGAAATGTAATTACAACTTTTCTTTCAACAAAACTTCACAGAGCTCAATAGCAACAAAATCCACACTGTATGTCATTGTTGTGTTTTGGATAAGATTTGGTTTGTTTTCTCTCTGCTCCTCTTCCCTCTTCCTGCCTGGCTACCTTTCAGTGGATGGCTGAGGGCATGGCTTGGCTCCCTGTGGCAGGATGGTGAGGTTCACCTGCAGCTCATTCCAGATCATCAACTCCTCCATAAAACGGAGGGCTTTTACTCCGCTACAGTGCCAGATCATTTTGTGCTTTTGGTACAACAGCTCCTCTCTGGCTTGATTCAGGTGAGTATTCAACTTCTAGTGACTTTGAGATTCCGGCTTTCCTGACTACTTGTGCTCTCCTGAGTAGATCCTTCTGTGTCCACGCCGTTCCCGAGCCGTCCTCCACCAAGCCTGCCAGCCCTAAGCCTGCACTGCATTTTTCTGACTTTTAGTTTTATTAATCGATATATTATTAAACCATAATCTACTCCTTGTTCTGCATCTGGGTCTGAACCTAAACCAAAACCTTACATATTCCATCCATCCATTATCTATGCATCTAATAATTATCAGTTTACTATAGACATCAGATTAAAAACTACTAAAAGTCCATATCCACTTCAGCATTTTAACGTGTCATGTGTCTGTGCCATAAACATTCTGTCAGATGTTTTTAACCCATTTTCTAACAATTGTACATTGACCTTTACAAATCCATATTTTAAACACAGTCTGTCTGGAAAACCCCAAAGACATCGAGGGCCATCACCACCCAATCAAACACCACATGAAAGAGTCTATAAAGGATATAAAACGTCTGTAATCACATCCAGGTTTCTGTGGGTACTGTTTAAAATGTAGTAATCACAGAGCAGTAACTTTATTGTTCTGAAATTCCTTGCTAGTTAACAAGGACAGTTTACAATAAAATATAAAGAGATGAGCTGCCATCAGCTCTTCTCCACACGTAAGACTTTATCTCATTCTTGGCTACATTCTTTCCTTCTTACTCTTCAGTCACCCCCAAATGCACAGGCGCCCAATGCGCAGCATATCTTTGTTTGTAACTCATGTCTGTCTGTTATCCATTTGCAATTTATGAGTCTATGTGCGTGTGTCTTGCCTGATGGCTCTTGCCTGCAGTATTATGTCCAGAACATTCCAAAGGAGTATTTTTAGCGCAAGGAAGTGGACCATGTGTGAATGATTTGAAAACTCATATGGTGGGTATGTGTGTTTGTGTTCTACCTGGACATATTCCAATGTGACCTCAAAGTTCTAACAAGAGATTTAGTCGATGTTGTTCAGTTTCATCACCTCACTTTAACATCAGCATTTAGACACCTGGTTTGAGACCAAGGGACTGCATTCCAATCTTTATCTCCATAAACACTGCACAGAGGTTGTGCGTGTGTGATATCTGGCAGGAGACTTTGCATGGTCTCGAATGCACTGCGTAAAACAGCTGCACTGATAAACAGCATACAGCTGTCAGTCAGATATTAACACATAGTATACATGTAGAGGTTGTATAAATCATGCAGGGCAGGCTTCAGGTAACATTTGGAATAGGTACAGTGGTTAATTTTACCTGTTTTTGCCTTATTACAGATTTTCTAAGTTTCAACAACTCCTAAACAACAGAAATAAAACATGCATTGGTTAATACTTGTGCTGGGACCATTTTGCCATAAGCCCACTGCTCCTACTTAAAATGTAAATCTGATGTACAGTTTCTTTATCTTTTTTTTTCTTCTTCCAAAAAAAGAAATTACTTAAACAAGAGGAAATAGTGCACATGTCAGCACATTTGGTGCTCTGACAACTTGCTTCCAATAGTAAGATGAATGATGCCAATCAATGTGGAACTGCAATGAAGCTTTACAGTACACAAACTATACCTCGTATTTCCACGTGACTCTTCATGGAGGTTCTAAAGAAATTGATTTAGCTTAAATTTGCATATATTGGTAAAGTGCTTTAATTATTATCTGTGGACTGATTTCTAATTACAAAGAAGCTATCTGACTGACAACAAATGCCATTCACTATCAAGGAGCAAACTACAAGCCTTTAATGCACTTATTTCAAACCTTAGGAAGTGAGATTTCATACTCCAAAGATGATTTCGACTGGATACCTTTAGATCAAATTTCCAGGTGTCGATGGAATACGGGACAGGAGGAGTATAGGAGCTTAGTATTTTTGCAGTTGCACTTCGGACTGTCAGTTAGGTAATTAATCAGCTGAAAAACAGAGTGCATAAACACTCCAGCTGTCAAATTCCCACATAGATGAAGAGATAAAATGTTTGCTTAGTCTGAACTTAGGCTGAATGGAAAAAGGTTTATGTTAAAAAAGAACAGACTTTCAAAAAAGTAACTCCAGAACCAAACAGGCTGTTGTGGATCTGTGGCTGAATCCAGCTCCTGATCCAGAGCTCAGCAGAGTCCGCAGCTGCTTTAGGTTATACCAGACCACACTTACTCTGAGCAGGGACCCATGTGGGGAAGGGCAGTTTGGGTTAAGCAGGGATATACACTGATCAGACACAACATTATAAACACTGACAGGTGACTGAATGGCAATAATCATCTCATGGAATGGAATGTTCTGCTGGGAAACCTTGTGTCCAGGCAGTCACGTGAATGTTTCTTGGACACGTACCATCCACTTAATAATTGTTGCAGACCAAGCTAAACCCCCGTTGGAAACACAACTTTTTGATGACAGTGGTCAAGCAGGACAATGTGCTCCACCACACCGTAAAAACTGTTCAGGAACGGCCTAAGAACCATACAAAAGAAACTCCCTAAATCCCCATTTGATTGAGCATTTATAACAGGCATCACCAAATGACCTCGGTCCGGATCTGGACCGCGTGATGGTCCTGTCCACGCCCGTGACCAATCTCTGATAGATTCACGAGAATAGATTTTCATGGAGCAATTTTTTCCGACGGTCGTGGCTATAGACAGCGAGCGCTGTTACTCCAGTTAATACATCAATAGCTCCATTCAGTCCAGCCAATCAAATCGTTTGGTTTCCCTGCACGGCCAGCGCACCACCACAGCTCGCTGCTGCTGCCACTTTGCGCTGCCTATACAGCAGAGCAAAGAGGAAGAGACAGTGGTGACAGCATAGCTTGCTCCAAAAGAAGGAAGGTTGATGAGGAAAACCACTGCTTTGAAGATGAGTGGATGGAGAAGTTTATGTTCATTCTTCTGTCAGGCAGTTCACAACCAGTGCGCCTCATAGGCTCTGAAAACGTGTCGTTCAAAGCTCTGTTTGCACTATTTTTCCTTAAAGAGACACTTTTTATGTCTTGTCTGAAGATGTTGACTTTTTATACTTGAAGTGTAGGCCTTCATTTTTTTTTTTAGGCTGGGACCTCTTTAATTTAAGAAAAAATAATAGAAAAATGTTTAGTCAATGCTCTGTATGCACTTGTTTTTTCCTAAAAGAGAAACCTTTGATTGATTGTTTTCTGAGGATGTTGTCTTTTTTACTTGAAGTGTAGGCCTTCAGCTCTTTAAGTTGGGACCTCTTTAACTTATGAGAAAAAATGGATATTTGGCTCTGTTTGCACTTTCATAAAATGTATTTTATTCTGAGGTTTTTGCTTTCTTTAATCTGAAATAAAGGACTTAAATTTATTTGCCTTGGACTACTTATATATATGGTAAAAGAGCTAGCTGTGCACCCAGTTAAACATATCCTGCACTGAAAATTGACAATAAGTATTGTTGAAACCATGAAAATGAGGCCATAGGGGAAGGCTATAAGACACAAACTGGACTTCAGTTCAGACCTTTTACTTGGAGGAAATTTTAATAACAGGACCTCAGTGACTTTTAATTGAATACCCCTGATTTATAGGATGCACTGGAACAAACCCCATCAACAGAGGCACCAAACTGCAACCCACAGAACCAAAACAATCTGTTGTCAATGTCCCAGTGCCAGACACCACAGGACCCACTCAGAGGCCCTGTGTCCATGCTCTGACACGCTCTTAGGCAAGTGGTTTTAATGTTGTGGCTGTGGGGTGTATAGAAGCACACCGAGTTGAAATATGATGTGTATGAAATGATTTACCTGCAGGGGGCCAGGCTTTGATGTAGCCAGTGCAATGCACTACAGAGTACTGAGCCTCTCCTTCTTTTGAGGGACCAAGACCGTTCCTGATCATCAAACACACACAGATGTAGCAGTTAGATACACAGACACAGGTATGGAAAAACTCAACAACAATACAGATGACGTATGTTACTTAATACTGCTGTTTTTATCTTTCAGTTCAAGTATGGGCTCTTACACTTAAAACTGCACTTTACATGCAGCATGTTCGGGTTATAATGCAAAATCCTATTTATTGTGTCAAATCCTTGTCTTTTTTTTACCTCAATGAATGAATTATTAAATGTATGCCCAAGTATCCCTCAAGATAAAGCTAATATAATATTAAGTTGGGGTCTGATCTGATTTCTGTTTGCTCTGATTGCTGTATGTAAAATATTATATAAAATGTTTTTACTGCAATGCAAGCAGTTGGCCTGGATGGAAATTTACAATTTAGAAAGAATAATGATCAGACTATTAGCAAGGGTTTGAAATTAAAAAAACTGTTTATCCCTCTTGTGGTTTTCACACTTGGCAGTAGAGGCTTGTAATGAATCCAGTAGCCCTGCTTAAATATCACATTTGGTTTTTATTGATAAAGACCTGAAAATCAAAGATAATCTTCTATTTGGATCATCGGTACAAAAATAACTCTCATACTTTGTCTGATTTCCAATACTACTATGTTTTTAAGAGACCAATAAAATTACAACGCACTGTAAACTGTATAAACAGAGCAGTTATTTTTTTAGGAACAGCACAGGTCTTTAAAAAGCTATGTTTTAAACTATTTGCACTACAGAGTCAATGTATAGTGCCTTTCATGCAGCCTGGATCACAGCCATAGTAGGAGAATAATGTCCTGTACCTGTATCTCTTCCTCATGTTAGACAGGCGGTTTAGGGAGATGTGATCCAAAGGAGCACTGCCGCACCTAAACACAATTACAACATAAAGACAACAGCAGTCATTACACCCCAGCAGTACATGATGTTGACAAGTATCCAGTAATCACAGCAATGTAATAAAGCGAGCAGATCCTTTTAAAAATGTACACTTTGGTACAATAGTACAATTAATCCAGTGACTTTGTGATATACTCAAATCAGACAACAAGTATGCAAGATAGAAACAAATTCCTATTTCTCAATATAAGAATAGCTGATGTGAAATTTGGAAAATGAAACTGATTAAAATCCTCCAGCTGTTCCAACATGCTGCAGCCAAAGTTCTGCTAAAAGCCGTCAAGAGAGATCATTACTGCCCTATGCTTGTGTCTCATGCAACCGGCCAAGGCAGATGGATGGCCACCCTGAGTCTAGTTCTGTCGGAGGTTTCTTCCTGTTAAAACATTGTTTCTTTCTTCCTACTGTTTTTATATAATATAATATTGTAGGGTCTTACTGTGTGAAGTGCACTGGCATGACTTAAGTTGTAAATGTGCTATACAAATAAAACTGAAATAAATTGAGTTCAATAGTGCGTGCATTCCATGCTATACTTAGGTCAAGTGCTGAAGTAGATAGTCAGTGAAAGCAAGAAGCAGAGAAGCAAAAAGTCACTATGCTTGTGGATCTTCATAAAGCATTTAGATGTTGCCATTTTTTTAGTCTACTATGTTTTGGGAGCTGTAAACAAGGTGGAGACCCTGCTTAAGCATATTTCAATAAAACATCTATTTAAAATAATTATTCTGACACAAGGTAAAGACCCATGGTAGTTTAAAAAAGTAGCTACCATGGTATGAAAGTGGTATCTGGAAGAAGAAATCTGCTGCTCTACATAACAAAGATAACATCACAGCCATCTATTAACAAACTTAACCACAAGATTACATCACACCATCCAGTTTTGGTTTCAACATGATCAAACTTCAGCATGTGTTTTTAAAAATGTTTTCGTAGGCATGGGATACCAACAATCCAAAAACTCTGGATTATTTATACTTGTTGCTGTTTTCAGTCTCTTTAAATGAAAACAGTTGGATTGCTCTCATGTGGCTGTTTTACCTGCTGCTTCTTACAGAACTGGTGCCCTATATTGTAGTCCAACCTAAACTGGACAATCTTAAAACATTTGTCTCAGATCAGGGTGCTTTAATACAATGTTGTTTAGAAGGAAAAAACAACACAAGTACAATAAATTTCCTGTCCCTGGACAGCAAAACATTAGAATTCCAAATCAGGATTCTTCTGATCCAGATGAAATTCTGTGGACACTGGGTGACAATGGCTGGTTAAGTAAAAAGGCCTTACACAAACAGTAGGAGGAAGCAGTTCAACACAAGACTGATGTGAGCTGTTTGGGGTATAGGATGCTCAAATTTCTTGAGTAACCACACTGCAAATGTTTGTGAAGGGCAGTGGGTCCTTTTTGTATCACAGTCAAAAAGACACCTGATTCCAGTCATCCCTGCTCAGTGTACAGATTGCACCCCGAATCAAACAGGTCACAGCCTTCAGTTGAGTTTTTTGAGGCTAACGGTAAATATGAAGTGAGTGTTTTTCTCTGGAAAGGGAAGTCTCGTGGCTGAACATTGCATAAGCGAGTCTGGATTTAATAATGGCTTCCCTGCAATGTTAGCATGCTGATCATGCCGTGTTCTTCTCAGCAATGTTTATGTATGTGTCACAGAAGGGGTTGCATTTCACTGTTTGCTTGCAGTCTCTTTCAGACTGTCCCAGCAGCATAATGTTTGAGTTATGCAGAGCCTGAGTAGCAACAGAAAAAAATGTCAGTCCAACAGATTCCTAACAACATAACACACTGTGGCTTTCGTGCAACTCTCACATCTTTGAGACAGATCCAGGGAAAACAAGACTAAAGGAGCTCATGATGACTCTACGCACTGGCACTAGCACAACCACAGAGAATGACAAAAATGTTTAAAAAGGTGAGCCATTTTGTTAAACTAAACATGAGATCTTACAAGCCCTTGAAATAGTCAAAGCTGATTTGGCATAGTTCATAGTCAATGAGTAAGGAAATTTGTGGGGTAAAGTGTGTCATATGCTGACGTGGAACAGGACAAAGAAAGAGACAAATTAAGCAGTGGGTTTGCAAAGGGTCTGAGGCTACAGAGTAGAGATACAGGGATATCCAACGGATGGCAACAATTATTAGAACATATGGAGCTGGCAAGCCTGCGAAGTCTAATTATATGTGAAGTATGGAAACATCAGTCACTTAGCCAAGAGCCTCAGGGGAGCCAAAATATTAATGCTATTACATCAAGCCATATGGCTTGAGGTTATGTGGTGTGAAATAGGTTATGGGTCCATGAACATCTCAATTTAAAAAGCAGGTCAAGTTGTACTTATAGCTGCACTTGTGCTTTTAATGTGTGGCATTAAGGAGGTGGTGTGTGCACTCTGTCACAGCTGTCTAGCTTCAAAGCCAATGTAATAAAACAAGAATTTTCCTGTCAAGCACATTTGAACTTTATCAACTCTAGCACGTTATGGGCAAAACACAGATACCTTTGAAAAATGTTCCATCAAAAGACAATGAAATTCTGCATCTGCCACATTAACCCCTCAACATGTAGCTTCTTACTCTTAGTGCAGTCGTTATATGTGACCTTAAACTATACTGACACACATAGCCCTAAGGCACAATCAGCCCATGTCTGTTTGTTGAGTATGAAGCTGTATTGTTGGGTATCAGTATCTTTATAACCAGCGGTTTGACTGGGCTGGAGCTTAGAAGAATGGAGCTTCCCCTTCTACTATCAAAATTGTGCAGCATCTGAGCTCAACTCCATGTTCTTCAGTATTTTAGCATTGCTAACTTTAACACTGATTCAAGCTGAATGTAGAGCGCCACCTTCCTTTTTTTTGGTTGAGACATTACGCTTTCAAACGATGTATAACTGGGGAAGATTCATTTAAAATATAGCTGAACCATTTTCACTTCAGGTAATGAAGGTTAATGGGTGAAATGCAGTGACTCTAAAAGTCGGGGAAAAAAATGTATTAAAAAAAATCAACAGTAGCAACTCTTTCCAGAAACAAAGCAACTCTTACCCTCGACAATTACCATCCACAGAACACAATGTGTACAGTTACTCTGGAACAAATTCCTGCTTAAGTAGTAGTCCCTGTATCAACAGTGTGAAGTCTGATATGTGGGCACTGACCTTACTGGACAAGGAATCCCAATCTAACAGACGCACTCACAAAGCTGAAAATTCATATCGGCTTTTATTGTATTGCTAAAGTCAGCCACATTAAAACCACTGGCAGGTGAAGCGAATAACATTGATTATCTCGTGAACAAGCGGACAACTGTAAGGATCTGGACAACTCTGACAAGGGCGAAGCTTTGATTTCTGAGTGACTGGTTTAGAGCACCTCCAAAATGGCAAGTCCTGTGTGGTATGCAGTGGTTAGTACCCACGAAAGTGGTCAAAGGAATTATAACCAGTGAACTGAGAACAGGGCCATGGACACCCAGAACTGTGGAGAACCAAGGCTGGCTGGTGTGGTTCAATCCAAGAGTAGACTTACTGTAGCAAAAACTGCTGAAAACCTTAATGCTGCTCTGATGGAGAGGTGTCAGAACTTACAGTGCATAGCAGCTTGCTGCTATAAGGCTAAGTAGCCTGACTGGTTTAAAGTGCTCATGTTGACCCTGTCCACTAACAAAAGCAGGGAGAGGCAGAGTGATGCTCTAGGCAATGCTCCAGGTAAGGTGACCTTGAGTCCCAGCATAAATGCTGAATTATTTTAAACGCAGCACCTAAACATTGTTGCTAACCACGCACACCCCCTCATGGCAGCAGTATTCCATCATGGCAGTGGCCTCTTTCAGCAGCAAACATTTTTCAGAGAATGGGGAGGAACATAAACAGTTCAAGGTGTTGACTCAACCTCTAAATTTCCCAGATCTAAATCTGATCAAGCATCTGTGGGAAGTGTTGGGAAAACAAGTCTGGTCCATTGAGGCCTGACCTCACAAGTTCTATGACTTAAAAGAATCTGCTTGGTACCACAGGACACCTTCAGAGCTCTGTGTAGACCATGTGTTGATGGGTCAGAGCTGTTTTGGTGGCATAAGGAGGACATCCACAATATCTAGTTTTATTGTTCTGGCTGATCGTTGTATATTTATATGATAAAATACTAATGAGAACTTTTGTGTCTCTTGTTTTGATTTTTATTTTATTGTTCAACCCTACTTTTCACATCTGTCAGCCTAAACACCACACTCAGTCGCATATGTAACACTATTGCAAAAGCACCTGAGGAGCTAATTAGTAACAGCTCAGCAGCACTCCTGATTGTTCTGTGCAGGCAGTAGCTAAAGCAGAGAAATTTGCTATTTATGTCTTTGTAAAAGTCTGATGGCTGTCACTCTGTAAACAACATTCTGGTGCCTGCTTGTCGCATAATATGAAGCCTTGCCTTGAGCCACTGTGTACCACATTTTCTTGCTTACATGTCAGCTGATTCCCATGCGGTGTTACAAAGCAGAGGTGACCTTACATCACAGGCTCCATTTTTTTACAACATGCTTTCTTTTATTCACATCTAATTCATTCTGATACCAAGTCATTTTTTAAATATACTACCACTGCAGTGATTCATAAAAAGTAGTGTTGAAAAATCTCTATAGATTACTCATAGTTAAGTATACTAAGCTCCGTGAATTTTAAGGCATCTGGCAAACGAAATTGATGAAGTTCTGATCAGTGGAACATTAAATGTGTGACTACACAAATATGGCATATGCATAGCTAAACATGTACAGGTTTCTTGTGGAAGAAATCTTACTTTTAGGGTAAACTATGAACAGTAATATTATGAATTTAGGTTTTTAAAATATAGCACTTGGAGCTTCAGTAACAAAAAATAATGTAATAACTGTCAGGTTAGTTCTGGAGGGACAGGACAGAAGACACACATACACACACACACACTTCGTCTCACAGTCACACACACCTCATGCGGCAGATAAAGGAGCGTCGGGAGCCCATACACATCCTCATGGAGGACTGCTGTCCCTCCTTCTTCACTGTTCCTGTCTTCAGGTCCAGAATCCGCCCTGTTAAAACACAAGCAGAACAAATTAATAGGGCAGCACAAGAACAGGACATCATCAAATACCAAGTTACAGCCTGTATGGATCAAAACTAAAGCTCTAGTAAACTGGTTTAACTGGTGTAATGTTGCCTATGTTGCTGCTACAGATACTTAGGATTATCAAATCAAAATCAAATCAAATCAGGTTTATTGTCATTTTGCTGTACAGACACAGTAGTACAGACAAGATGAGAGAGCGTTTCTTCAGGATTATTTAATCAGCAAGTTTTGCAGAATGCACGTCTGGGATAAGACACTAAACGTTCGCTGTCGCTGTCTCCTGATGGGGCTGCAGCATCCATGCGCGCCACCAATTGCTGAAGACGGTGAACCTCTTCAGATCCTGGTAGGTCTTCAGGGACACAAAGACACACACGATGGTGTGACAATGGTGAAGCCGCAGATGCTGCCCAGAGCTAGCTGTCTGTCTGTCTGTCTGTCTGTTCTGAATAATGTCGTCCCCTCCAGCTGTATGTCCGTCTGGGATGTTGTCATGGAGCCATGGTTCTGTTAAAGCAAACACACAGCAGTCTTTCCACTCTCTGCGGGTTTCTCTCAGCAAACGTAGCTCGTCCAGCTTGTTGTCGAGGGGGCGGACATTGGAGAGTAGGAGCGATGGTCCTGCTGGTCTGGAGGGGTTAGCATGAATCCTGGCTCTCTTCCTCCTCCTTTGTTTACGTTTGTACCGTTTGCGCTTCCTTCTCTCTCGGGTAACTGCCGGCGTAGTCTCTGATCGGACTCTGTGTTTGTGTAGTATGTCTAAATCACAGCTGATCGCCACAATTTAGTAATTAGTAAAATAAGTTTATATGTAGGGTCGGCCTGAACTGAACAATTGGTTTAGAGACAGGCCTGAACTGAACTTCCCTGTGCTAGGGTTAGATTCTAGTGAGGCTTGGGTTAGGGCTTCAGAAAAACAACTGGGAATAGGCTAGGGTTAGGGCCAGATTAGGGTTAGGGTCTGGAATCGAGGCTAGGGTTAGGGCTAGGTAAGGGATAGGGCTAGAGGTCAAAGGACAGGGCTTAGGTTTAGGGCCAGATAAGGCTTTGGGTAGGGTTAGGGCCAGATTATGGGGCTCAGGAATGGGTTATTTCCAATGGCTTTACAGAGTTTCGAACGGAAAAGTGAGTCCCAGGCAGCTGGATCCCAGTGAGAGGAGGCACAGGCCGGATTAGTTTATATGTTGGTATTATAAGTACAGATATAGATATTTATATATAGATTAGTAAAACAAAATAAAAGTCCTGAAAATTCTATTTATTTCAATTAAAAATAACTTAATTTCTAGCCTTCTGGTTGTGCCAGGATGATATTTATGCATCTTTGCAGTAGTGAGCTGGCACAGCAACAAAGGCCATCAGAATCACAGACTTATGTTTTAATATTTTCCCATTAATCTTTTTACATTATTCCCAATAGTCTATTCTCTTCATTTCATAGTGTCTCTGGGCTGTGGTGCTTCCAGCAGCGTATGTTTGAATTCGAGCTTTTATCCAATCATATTTCCGCCATCATGTATTGCCAGGGCCTAAGAAATTCTAAGGCCTTCAGAGTCAAAAGTGCAGGCGTCTGTAGCTTAAAATACATCACAAAGAAACTGTTGCTTTAACCAATTAGATTCTGAGTTGGTGGTCCCAGGGCCATCTGGCAGGCTTATGATCATGTCAACACTTTCACGTCCTCTGACTGGATGGACAGAGAGCTTAGCCAAAGTTGGCGATTCCTGTTTGTAGCGACCTGCATAAGGTAAAACTATGACAAAAATATTATTAGCTGTTTTTTTTTAACCCACAATGGCTGACAGAGGAGAAGATATTGATTTGGTTGCAGATATACTTAGAAAGTCATTTTCAAGGCAGACTTTTCAAGAAAAGGTGGACATTATGAGGAGAGACCAGCCAACCGTGAAGCTAGCAAGCCTGTCCTGGCCGGGAAAAGACCCAGCTTTCAGCATTAGCCTCCATGGTGTTAGAAAAGGACTATATTGTTGGAACTGAAACACATGGATTGTCTGCTCAGCAGAGTGACTGAACTCTTCATGAGGAAAGAAAAGAGGGTGGATTTTGTGTTCAAATAATCACAGGTTAAGGTGAGTAAAATGAATTATATTGACATTTATATACGTATTTGTCATTTTATTGGGCTAATATTGATGCTAGATATGATGCAAATGGTGCTGCTGTGGCTGCAGTGAAAGGAGACTTGTTGAATTGTTTTAACTGGGTTTCTTGCTTTAGTAATGGCATTCACTCTCGCTACATGAGATACTTGTCTGCAATGCAACGTCCAGTTATATCGCCTTTCTATATAATATTGATGGTTTCTATAGCCATGGCATCATAATGATCAAATTAAGAGGTAGTTTGATTAAGGTAGGACGCCACTGAAGGCCGCGGAGTACAATGCATGGCCCGAACCCGAACGCTAAGGCAATATTTGACTGCAGATTGACTTATAAAGACAGTAAAAGAGTCTGTTGCTCAGACAAGGAAAAGAAGGAAAGAAGAGGAAGAAAAACGGGGAAAAGACAGAGGTACAATAATGTCAATGTGATGGAATTAATTAGTTAATGGATCGTAGTTACTGTTGTTGAATCTTGAATACATGCATACAGTTTCTGTGCTATTGTGTGAAAATGAAGAGTGAACTTCACTGTGATGCTACGGGGCGCCAACTACAATCCTGCCTAGGGCACCAAATTGGTGTGGGCCGGCCCTGATCATATCCACCATGTAAAAGTACTTTATTTAAACTGCAGTAAAATGTCATTACGGGTCCAATTTATTTATTACCATCAAACTAATATTGTAGACTATGTGTCTAAGTTCACTGTAATTTCCTCAACCAATTCTATTTACTGGCAGTGAGACACGGATGAAAGAAAAAAAAGTACTGTGAAGACGCAACACGACAGGTGATCACTAAACTGCAACGTTATTCCAACTTAAAAGAGGTCTCACTACCATAGGGAGCCTCGAATAACCCTCAAAGTCTTTGTTTGGTGTTCAGTTTAAAAAAAAATTAAACATTGTTGTCAGAAGTTGCAACAGGAAAATAAGATAAATTACTCTGAGACTAACTGAACTATTGTGAAATACACACATTTTACCAAAGCACCCAGAGGAACTCCCTCAATTATCCCTGAAGATCCTTGAGCAGAGCAGCTTCGTGTAAGAAAAGGGCTGAAGTACAATTGAGCTTGTACAGCATACACAAGAAAAGCACATATTTATATACTATCTCTAGCCATACAATGCATAACATATAATGTCTTTTTTTTTGTTTCAACCCCTAGTACTGCACTGCAGTCAGTCAAATGTTGACAAGCAGCAGCATCAACAGGTAAGCAGTCATGTCTGCGTTATGTTGCACAAAGAACTGGTGGCAAGCCTGGGCCACAACAACTTAAACACACCAAACAAGTGCCACAGTGTTGCCCTCCTTCAACTTAAGTTTGCTGTAGAAGCAACTAAACAAACATTCACTGTCACTGTCGCTGTCACTGTGAATGTCAGCTGCAAAACATAGCTGCAAATATCAACACCACGAACACAATTTCTGTCCAAGACTTGTAAGCTACAGATTAGCTGTTGAATATGTGTCCCTTTCCCTGCATGCAACAAGCAACACAAGCAAATAAACAAGACTTCAACTCACATGGGTACCAGTAACAATGACATGTCCTGCTGCTATAGTGTAAGACAGTGTGTGAGACTTATGGCAGGAGTGGAGGTCACCCCGCAATCCATTCATTCTTCTACACTTATTGTGTAGTAAGACACACACTGTCTGTCCCTCCATTTTCTGAAACAAACTGTGGATGTTTCACCATCTGTTTATCCCCCACTGGTGTTTGCTTATTTTGAAAGCAGTACAAAAGCTCTAAGGAGGACAGATAGCTTGAAAGACTCTGCTAGCATTCATCCATCTTTCCCCATATCACATACCAGAGACTGTGGGAGACTGTACTACCATAAGGCATGAGACAGAGAATCTTCTAATCTTGAGCTCTGAAGTAATTTCATGCATTATTCATACATAGCAACACTTAGGTGCACACAACCATGTCGCTCCATTCAAACATTTGTTACATACATCAAAAGAAACGAAGACCAGACTTGTTTTATTAATGATTGATACTGGTTTCATACTGCCAAGATCAACAACGTTATTAACATTCTAAACTCAGCAGGTTTATAGATGCTCCTCTCTAGCTCAACATTTTTAGAAATACACTGATCTGCTTGCTTTCTGAGAGCGAGATGTGAAGACAGATAGTGCAGAGCTGGAGTCAGTAAATGGACAGCCGACCTCAGCATAACGACAGGGAGCTGAACAAAAGAAGAAGTCTGGCTACTAACAACGTCTAAAAATACATCTACAAACACCTCTTTGTTCATTAAATAACATATTGTATCTTGTTGTTTAGCCTGTAGAAAAAAATCAGCATCAATGTTGTTTTTTGAGGTGGTTTGTGATGGAACCATTTCTTGTTCAACACCAGCCCAATGCAGAGCCTGTGTGCAGCTTCCTTTACTCATAGTACTGTAACGTTTTTTTAAAGACTCCCAGAACGGGAAGGGGAGAGAGAGCCTACAAAACATGTTGGTTTTGTTTCAGTTAATGAAACCGGTGGACTTCTAAGGCTGATATAGCAGGCACTTCTGCTTGTGTGCGTGTTTTCATCCATAACACATAACACTGATGGCTGCTTAGTGTGGTTCAAATGGACAGACTTACAGACAGACACAAACTCAGTGGGGTCACTGAGATATTGTAGAGTCCACAGACTACCATAAAGAGAGATTCAACATGACAATGGTGCCCTCTAGTGAGCACTATGAGTATGTCAGTTGTGTTTACAATTTAAGTGTTGCTGTTGCATTCGGAGCCTTTTAACAAAATACTGTGCAGTGACAGTTATCTTGTGACACAACACAGGTACAAGATGTGAAGGAGTACATAAAACATAAGAGACATAACTTAATTGGAAGAACAGAATAGAATAGAATGCCTTAATTGTCACTATACACATGAACAATGAGATTAAGAGCAGCTCCTTCAATGCAACATAGAATAAAGAACAAAATAAAGAGCAGAAAGTAAAATACAAGAGATTTCAATATAAAATAAGATAAGTTATATATACAGTATAAGTTATAAGAAGGAAAAAGTTCTAATGTCTGCCTAAGCCTGATGTGGCCGTCACCTGAGTTTATATTAGTTAAATTAGTCCTTCCTTTCTGAAATGTCACGACATTGTGTTGATAAAACTTCTTTCACTCATTTATAAAATGAATGCATCATTTTTTTAACGATATTTTATACTGTGAAATATTATTGGTTTTAGTGGAAAAAAGCAGTTGAAATACTTCTTCTACTACTAATACCAACATTGACTCAGAGAAAAGGTGAACATAACGTAAGACTGAGTTTGTCCACAGCCCCCGAATCACTAAATCCTGCTGCTCTGTGTTCTGAAAGGGAAATTGAAATTTTGATCGACAGTTCAGATCTATCCATTATCTACACACCGCTTAATCCTCACTGGGGTTGCAGGGGGGCTGGAGTCTATCCCAGCCAACTTAGGGTGAAGGCAGGGGACACCCTGGACAGGTCGCCAGTCTATCACAGGGCTACACTTAGAGACAGACAACCAAGAACGTCCGTTCAGATGATGCTCTGAATTTCAGACTGAACTTCTGAACACAGCCACAGTTAAACAAAGTGCTGGAGAACGCTTACTTTAGGTCATTAACCCATGTTGGTATGATTTAAATAACTCTGTGCTAGGGTTGCTAACGGACATAACGTATCTTTTAGGGAGGGATAAACTGTGAGCTCAGCAGTCAAACTGTACATTTCTCAGTATGTGATGAACTTTTGCTGAATGCTTCGACAGACCAATGTTATTTCTGCTCTGACAGACCTGCTACTCTTTTGGCAACAAACATTTTCTGCACCAACTGTAATGAAATACAATTATACTTTACAACATTTACTTCTCTCCCCCTCCTCACTGCTGTGCCCCTCAGACACCAGGTGCCAGGTGAGCCTGTAGCTCCGACAGACAGAACTCTGTTTAGCATTTGGAAAGCGAGAACTTATGGTAACGTGAAAAACGTGCAAAATTACGTTCTTCTCACTTTCTAAAGTACTATTCGCTAAACCATTAACGCCAGAGCTTATCAATGTCCGGTATTTATACATTTCGCCCCAGGGCTTGTGTAATATTGATGCTTGGTACCCATCCCCCACAGACAGAGTTAAGAGCGGTGAAAACATGAATATGTATATGAAGAAAAGTTGCCAGGATTACGCTACTCTACTAAATATGACGGACATTGTGGGGGGAAGATAGGGACAAGACAAGCAGACTGTGGTCTATCCTAGGGGAGAACAATATGACCACTAGGCCAGAGGTTAAAGTGTCTGTGCTAAAACGTCTCTGCCTTCATCTCCAATAATGCAACATGTTCTAGGTGACATCTTCAGGGCTCTTCAGGTTCTCCAAAATCCCTTCTTACAACTACTGATGTTGAAGTGTAAATGTCAGAGGTTCTTACTAAAATTCATCTGTACATCAAGAAATCCTTTCTTCAGTTATATCTGACTTTAGTTTAAAGTGTCAGAACAGGGCTAAATGCAGACACAGGAGGCAGACAGGCAGGTGAGGGAAAAAAAAGAAAACCTTTAAAAAATGTATTGAAGCTGATAGTCCAAAACCAAGTCCAACAAAAGTAGTCCAAGAACAATCAAGGAGAAATCCAAAAGCAGAACCATGCACAAGTGAGGAGACTAAGGAAAACAGGGAGGAACAAAGGCTACAGAGACATGCAGACTGGAACTCAGGTAGGTAAACAACAGGTTAACAGGCAAGGATCACAGGCACATAACAGGAGGTGAGCAACTGAGGAAGACGCAAGACTGTATACACACAGAACTAATGAGGAAACAAGACAGAGGTGAAACTAACGAAGGTGGAGCACACAATCAAATAAGGTGGAAAACAGAAACTCCACTACAACTAAACAAGGACCATGACAATATCTCGAGTTTTGACTTAGATTTTTAGCAGGTGCAACAAGGTCTAACTGATATTCATAAGCTGAAGGGTAAGACTGTTAAATGTCAGAAGAATAGAGATCACAGAGTGCCCCAGTAGCCTAGCTAGTAAACCATGTGCAATGGGTTCAATTCCAGGCCAGGCCTCTTGCACACATGTAGAAATGGGTTTTGATTATCTATTATAAAACTGACCGTAATAATCTTTACAAAGAGAGCAAAACTGTTTTATTAATCTTTTTTGCTACGCGCACCTAAGAAACAGGAGGACAGAAGGAGATTTTTGTAACTGAACCAGCTCTCTGTAGAGATTGTGCTTCACTAACTGAATAGTGGTCTTGTCAGATATGAATTCTTGCAATTGTTAGAATAAAAACTTGTCAAATGTCAAAATGGTTTGGTATTGTTTTCAAAAGTGAGAGCAATGGCAGTCTAAATGGCAGTGCTTATATGTGACAGGTGGTTATAAAGACCCTCTGCTTCTATAATACCTTTTGTCTCCTGACCAGGTCGTTATTGAAAATGAGAACCAATTCTCAAGTAACTTACCTGGTACAATAAAGGTTAAATAAAAAAAGACTCAATTAAAACATTTTCATCTGAAAGAATTCTTAGATCTTTACCTGTCATTGAGTTTTCTGTAGTGCTAAGCTGTTCTCTCAGCTTGTCCACATCGTCGGGGTGAACCTGTTCGTACAGAGTGCTGCCGAACCACTCTGACTGTGGGTGGTTCAGCACCGGTGTCACAGAGTCTGACACATAGATGACCCGGCCCGTCTCTGCAGCAACCACAAACAAAAAGCCATCCGCTGCCTCCAGGATCAGGTGCTTCAGTTCCTACATGGAGGAGAAAGGTATGAGCATGTAGACATAAAGTCAGAAACATAAAAACACATACAACAACCCATACACACATGTACAACCAGGAGACATAGAAATTAAATACACATTAAAAGCGTGCTCAGTATAAATTAAGAGGCAACTCAAGTCTTTTAATAATTAGCAGTGTGCCTCAGCCCTTGCCTGTCTCCCTCTTCTTCTCCCTCTCTCTTGTCCTCTCACTCGGCCTTGCTTCCCCTCACTCTCTCCCTCTGTCTTCCCAGCCCTGCAAGCAGCCTATTTCTATTTCACCTATTTATGTATTAGGTTTGGTTAGTCTGTTTTGTCTCCCTTTGCCCAGTTATCTCAGCTTGTGTTTGTAATTTCCCCACATACTTGTATTGATCTGCCCTTTTGTTAGTTTTGATAACATTTTCTCTTTGAGTTTGAATTTGTTAGGTAGCCAGCCTGGTTATTTGATTATTTCCACTCTGTTGTTAAATTTTGTTTGTATTTGATAAGAAACTTCTGTTCTCTGGTCCCTGGACCCCCTGTGACAGAATTCCACAAGTTAATTTGCCATAATGAAAAGTCTGGCATGCTGAAAGAGCACAAAAAGCAGATACTAAGCAATAGTTTGCATGTAACAGTTACACACTGGCTATGGCATTCTGTCTATGTAAAAAGGAAAAAAATCACAACATCAGGCTTGATTTGTCTCAGGGTGTCTCTCAAGTCACTCCCTAGATTTCAAACTCACCAACATGTTTTATAAAAACCTGGATCGTATGGGACAATAAGAGCTGGCTTGGACAGGATAAGGCCTGTTTTCTGATTATTTTTGAAAAGATCACTGTCCTTTTGTGTCTCTACTTTTTCTCTTTACTTACTGTGTAATAAAACAATTCTAACTCTAGCACTACTTTCACTGTATACTTATATTTTGATATAGTTCACTGTATACTTTCTTCTGCACATTTCTACATTCTTTGTCTACTTTTGAAAGCTTTTTTTTCCTTGGGTTTATCTCTTTTTCAACTGCCGAAATTTCTAAGACTTGAATGGGAGCAACTGTACCCAAAGCAATTTCCTGTCGGATCTGTAAAGTATTTCTGATTTTTGTGTGTCATGTGTCACCTGTTTTGACTCCCTAGTCATACAGCTTTTGTTCTTTGTCAGTTTATCGAGTTTGACCTATTTGCCTGCCTCATGTTCACCTGTCTTGTGTGTTTCCAGACTGACTTCTTCCTTGTGTTCATCAGGCTTGTGTTTTTATTTTTTAACTTGGTTTTCTTTGGTTTAGTTACTTTAGTTATCCCTTGAACTTTTAGTTTAGATTTCCTGTTAGTTTGCTGAACTTTCAGTCCTCATGCTCCCTGTCTTTGTTAACTCTGTTAGGTTTTCAGAAGTTTTCTGTCCCTACTTTTACCCGCCTGTCTGTCTACACATGGGTCCTTACCTGAACACTCCCTGACACTATCAAAGCATTTTATTCTATTCCACCAGACAAACAGAATGGTTTAGTGCACTGCTGATGATTCTCTTTTATAAGTGATTCAAGCCAGCATTACACCATTATAAATACTTCTTGGTAATTTCAAAACAGAGGGAAGATATGTTAATTGTAATAGACAAGCTGATTTTGTCATTTCTAATAAATAACACAACCACCTTAAGAGGCATTACTCACATCAATCATATTGTGATGATATTTTGTGACTAATTATTTTTCTTCAAGACTCTAGACTTGCTTATTTCATTAGTTTCGGTTTCAGAGGCTCACTGCAAGTTGTTTGAACATATATTTATTTGCCATTAAGAAATTAATTAAAAGCCATTCAAGCTACTCTCTAGATTAGCCTCTTAACATTCACCAGCTGAGAGGAAATTCTGCCAAATTGTTCAAGGCATAGGCCCATTCTGAATCACTTAAAAGCATAAAACCTTATAATTAAACAGTGTCAACCAGAAGAGTGCATACATAGCATCACAGTACTTTCTCACTTTTAATGTCCTCTATATGGGCATATACTAAGCTATTTTTACTATAAGACTCTAGCAAGCAAACTGCTGGGAAAAACCCTGTATTGAGCCAATGGCCCTGATTCTGTCACACTTTAGTTGTGCAGCAACAGTTTCACCAGAATAGCAGCACCCTCAAACAAATCACAACATTCTTGTTGATCACTGCCAACACTGCTGCAATCCCATCTATGATTGAACTCTTTGACAGTACAATACCTGTTCAGTGAGAAAGGAGGGCTTATAGGCTCCGTCAGTGGATGTGTTGCCAGTGCCTCTCATGGATTTCATATGGGAGACAGCCATGCGCAGGATGGTCAGCTTATCAGGTTTTCGGGCCAGGGCACTGCAGGTAGGGACCATGTCTGACAGCTCAGTGATGTACTGGGTCATTTTGTTGCGTCGGCGTCTCTCAATCTCACTGTGGTTCTCTCTGAAACAGAAAAAAGAACAGTTCACACTTGGAAAACAGACTGGGAACCACAAATGAATCTCTTCTAGCTGGGTTCGCAGTTTCTTGAATGCAGCAGGTAACTCAGACAGAAGACTTATGCTGTAATGTGTTTTTTATGTTAGTCAATGTCTATCTGTCTATCCAACTTAAAAAAAAATACAAAGAAAGAAAATCTGTGTATTCCCATACTATGAAATGTTTACAGCTAAGAGCTCATATTTTGGCTTAATATTGGTGACTTTGACTCCCTCATTCACAAACTACTTATCAGTGGTACACTTAAGTGTTTTGCTATTGTTAAAAAATTGTCTAATGTGCCTATTTTTTGGACTTGGTGCCCATTAAAATGTTAAAAGAAGAAAAAAAAAAAAAAACAAGCGATAATGTTGCCAGTTATTTCTAGGGTGAGTGTCTTCCTGGCTCTAATTGTTGGTGTACGTCATGGAGTGTACAATTATGAGCAAAAGTTTACATACACTTGTAAAGACCATCATGGAAGTCTTAAATTTTCAATGACCCCTGTACTTCTTAATGTTGTCTGATCGAATGATTGAGTGGCACGGTGATACAGTGGTTAGCACTGTCACCTCACAGCTACAAGGTCCTGGGTTTGAATCTGGGCATGGGGTCTTTCTGTATGGAGTTTGTATGTTCTCCCTGTGCCTGTGTGCGTTCTCACCGGGTTCTCCAGCTTCCTCCCACAGTCCAAACACATGCTGAGGTTAATTGGTGATTCTAAATTCCCGTATCTGGCAATGTGATTGTGCTGGAGAACAGGCCTAGCTTCAGATGAAACAAAAATTTTGCTCTTTGGCCACAATGACCAGAAATATGGTTGAAGAAGAGAAGGTGAGGCTATTAACCCCAAGAACACCTTCAAGCTTGGTGGTGTTTTACAAGTAAATGGAACAATGAAAAAGATCAATGATTCCATTTTAGAAAATGAAGAGATGTAGGAGTAACCGGAAACTCACGACTGCCATGTATGTAAACTTTTGTTTATGACTGTCTTTACTTTGCATGTTTTCTTGGGCAGTGATGCCTCTGGCGATAAATCAAGTTTGTACTATTTCCTGGTTTAGTTGATGCAGACCTATCAGACTAAAGGATTTTCATCATATTTTCTTACTTTTAGGGCTTCCTCACCCACTTTGTATCAAGGCTTTAAAAACCAAAGTATTACCAAACCATCAGCATCTTTGTTTCCTCATTTATCCAGTGCAGCTCTTGGGACTGTTAAGATGGGGAGGGTTTTTTTCTGAGCCTGAGGATTATCTTATCCAGACATGTCACTTTTTCTTGTCTCTGACACTGGATATCAATACAACATCATCTGGTATGTTTAGAAAATTGTCTGTTGAAGAAATACTGGCATATGATTGATTACAAATAGAAAAATATCCTTCATTTATGAGTAACTGTCAAGCAATGACATCTGTATACCTGTACCAATACTGACGTAATATATTTGTATACAAACTAGGCCTGGGCATTAAAACAATGATTTATTGTATCTGCCCTTCTTTAAGCCTAAAAACACCCACAACCTCCACTTAAGCAACGCACTCCCATCAGCCTGGTCCGAGGGCAGACCAACTTGTTCGAAATACACACGGATGCCGGTGTGGGGTCCTCCCCCCGGTGCTGCTGTTGTGTTGACATTAAAATTATTACCTTGATAAATGGGTACAAGTGCCTAAATTCAAAATCAATGTTTTCTCCTGATCTTTATTAAAAATAGGCAATTCAACAACTAGCAATTTTATCAACTGCAATAAAACATTTTATTGTGATTCAGCTAAATTGCTCAGTCCTAATACAAACATTATCCAGATTTTTTTTGCCACTTGTGTTAGTAGTTCACTTTGTAAGGATCAGAACAAGTGCTCAGGTTGTACAGGTCTGTTGATCCCTGAGTCAATGGAAAATCCTCTGTGACCCTAGCTGGCTAGGCCTACCTGGCATATCTCTCCTTATCCCCACCAGGAATCTGATCATCATCATACCTACAGAAAAGAGGACACAGCATGTAACACAGTGTACACATACAGACGGAAAGTGTAGCATCTTTAGTATACATATTCAATTCACATGCAATGGTTATCATAAATTCAAAATGACTGCAGATGGTTAAAAATGTCATGGTAACATCATGGGCAAAACTGGATACAACAGTCTAGCAATAGCTGATGTACAGTTGTGGACAAAAGTTTACATACACGTGTAAAGACCATCCATATCATGGCTGTCTTGAGTTTCCAATGCTATCATTAGAAACTCAAGACTGTAAAGCTCTAGTTACGAAAAAACAATCACACATTTTGGTTCTTTCATAGATTTATGACAGGGTTTTGGTAAATATGACAAAATCTGCTGGGTCAAAAATATACATCCAGCAATGCTAATTCTTCGGTCAATTGTCCCTTGGCCATTTTCACCTCGACTAGGCGCTTTTGGTAACTGTCCATGAGCTTCTGGTTGTATGTTTGACCACTCCTCTAAATTTGTAAGCTTTCTGACACAGACTGGTTTCTTTATTAGAATCCACAAGTTTAACTTCTAAAAACTTAATTCTAGCCTGATTTAGCAATTTCTTTACCACTTTTGATGTTTGTTTGGGGTCAATGTCTTGTTGGAACACCCAACTGCGTCCAAACAAAACTTTCTGGAAAATGATGTTAAGATTTCCTGAAGAATGTGGAAGTAATCCTCCCTATTTATTATTACATTTACTTTGTGTAAAGGACCAGATCCACTGGCAAAAAACCGCCCCATAGCATAATACTGCTACCATCATGCTTGACTGTAGGTTTGGTGCTCTTGGGGTTAAAGGCCTCATCTTCTCTGCTCCAAACATATTTCTGGCCATTGTGGCCAAAAACCTCCATTGTTGTTTCATCTGACCACTGAACTTCCCTCCAGAAGGCCTTGTTTTTTGTCCATGTGACCAGCAGCAAACTTCAGTCGAGCATTAAGGTTCCACTTGACTGTGGACACTGACACCTGTGTCCCAGCAGTTTCTAATTCATTGCAGACCTGACTTTTGGTGATTCTAAGTTCATTCCTGACAATCTGTAGCTGTTTCGAAGTGGCTCCAAGTGACTTTTCGGTTCCAGTCAATGATTTGCCACTTCAGATTTTTGCTGAGCTGTAGTTTCCACTGTAGTGTTTGTGGTCTAATAGTCTAATAGACCAGAGCTCCAGACTGCGACCAAAACGGTCACATTTGCAACTTTTTTTTTTGAGAGTGTGCAAGGTCAAATTTCAGGCGGTCACATTGGTGTGAGTGCATGATGATCATTAAGCTGTATTAGTGTCGCTGTAACCAGCAGCTACTGCGTTCACTACAATGGTGAAAAGCAGTACTTTTACAACTTCGCTGTACTGTGGTATTTATGCTTAAATATGCGATGTTCTTGTGAAAAACAGAGCAGACCTGCATTCACATTTCTCACTCATAGAAAAGGCTGCATGTAAAACATAAAATAAAAAAATCACTTGTTACATTAAAATGCCCCTCATTTTTGGTTGCACACCTGTCTGAGTACACCACAGATACCAACAGCATCTACCGCAGCCTGCAATGTGGGGTGTTTCGGGAACATCGGTAAACTGTAGCATCTATCGATAAAAAAAACTGTTCAGTAAGTCATATGTTTTGCCTGTGACAAGGTGGGAGGTGCCACAAAAAGACAAAGTTGGTTGCACAGTTGCTACCAGTGAAAAAGTTGGTCTGGAGCCCTAATAGGACTATCAAACGGGCCCTGTTTAAATTGGTTCATAGAAACTAGCAGCTGTAGTTAATCATAATCACTCACAAGAAGCTAAGAGGTCAAGTCACTAAGAAACTTTTATTAACACAGCCTTCTACAAAAAAACCTTACAATTCAAGTTGCTTTTTTAATATTTTTGACTTAGCAGATTTTGAAATATTTCCAAAAGACCTATAATAAATATATGAAAGAACCAAAATTCATGATTGTTTTCTGTGACAAAGACACGTGCTTTAATGATCACATAATAGAACATTCAGAATCATAGAAGTCATTGGAAACTCAAGACTGCCATGACTAACAGTCTTTACAAGTGTATGTAAACTTTTGTTCACGACTGTAAATGGTGCAGTAATAAAGTATTCCACTCTATTGTAGGTATGGACAGACTACAAACTCTTTTTCTTACATTGCAAGTCATTAGATGTACTTTTAGGATTGTTTATATTGCTTACATTGACTCACAAAATAAACTGCTGACATCTTAGGGCAAGGTGACATAACTAGATTTGGTTAAGTGAGTAAGGCAGCTACAAGTTGGGTGGGGGCTGTAACACCAAATTGTAAAGTTTAGTTAATGTTGAATGTTAATGTTACTTGGATACTAAAACTTGACTGCTGAGCTACAGATAGAATCCAGTGTCACTGGAATAACTGGCATCCTGTTGATTTACCGGCTGGAGGAAGTCACACTGTGTCTGTCTCGGGAAGAGGCCTGTTATTTGTCACTCAACTTGTCCCTCTAAGATGTTTACTGGTGTTACAGCCTAAATAGTGTACCACATCCAACGCACCACCCCGGAAACAATATGAACTGGGTCACCTCCTCCTTCTTTTCCAGTTTAGTCCCAGTAGTCCCTAAAACCCCAGGCTATGGGAGACAGCAGCGAATGATCTATCTAGTAGCAATACAATAAATAGGAAGCTTTTATGCAGCCACATAAATCTCACATATAAGGTCATTGCCCATTAATAAGAGTGAAGTTCCTCGTGTGGTCAGCAGAGGGCAGCTCCTCCTCACAACTGTCACCACTCAATTTGGCAGATACAAATCAACTGCCATCTTGTCAGCTCAGAAATAACTTACTGTACATCCTATAGAAATACACACTACACAACATGAGAGGAAGAAAAGGGGAAAAAAAAGGTGAGATAAAATAAACATGAGAGGACAGTTAAGATGCAGTGACAGATTGTTGACAGACGTGTTGAATACGTAACAACAATGTATTTTTGATGGAGAGAAATCAAGTCATGAAGTGTCCACGTCAGTGTTACAACAGGGTACCTGCAGGGTTTTCAAACACAAACTTGGTATGATTTTTAGATGTTTTTAGTGCTTCTTGGATTTAAAAAAAAAAAAAAAATGCATGTAACTGCAACTTTTGTTCCGGTAAGTACATACATGTTGTACACCTTAAGATCAATTTGAGAAAGTGCAGAAAAACACAATCCACTACTTTTTATGTTTTTTTTTTTGTTTTTTTTTAAATAATTCCAATTTATTGTACCCAAAGATACCCTAAAACAGGAAGTGTGTGATCTTTATGAATGAGTCTGAAAACATTTTTGACAGGACTGGTGCTGTCTGTTTTAGGTGTTCTCACCTTGAAAATTTGCTCGGTCCCTCTCCATCTTCATCATCAAAGTCCATTCTAAGAATCAAAGACAAGAAACACAGTTAGTACGTCTATTACACTGGGCTGGTAACACTTACTTGTGACTAAACTCTATGTATTTTATTTTTTTTTTTAAATATTTCAAATATGTATATTCATTATCTATATATCTCTTTTTCTTCTTTAGGATCGCGGGGGAGCTGGAGTCTATCCCAGCAGACTCAGGGTGAAGGCAGGTTCACCTGGACGGGTAACCAGTTTATCACAGGGTCACACAGAGAGACAGACAACCAAGCACACTCACATTCACACCTACGGACAATTTAGAATCACCAGCTAACCTCAGCATGTGTTTGGACTGTGGGAGGAAGCCAGAGGACACCGTGAGAACCCACACGGGCACAGGGAGAACATACAAACTCCCCTCGGAAAGAGACCAAGATTCAAACCCAGGACTTTGTAGCTGTGAGGCGACAGTACTGACCACCGTGCTGCCCTCAAATATGTGTATTTACAGTAATAACTTTAAACAGCAGTAGACAGCAGACATCAGTTTGGTGTCAGTTCTTATTCTCAGATAAAAAAGAGACAGTACAGTTGTACCTTAATCCTCCAGATCAGTTCATATCTATTTTGAAGCTTTCTTTGTTTTATTTTCCCCCAATTACACAGTTCACATATTTTCTTTCTCATTTCCTCTGACAATTTTCCTCTTTTCTTTCTCTAGTCCCTGTTCAGTGTGGTGCCTGCAAGCCATTTGTTGAAGATCTTTGCAAAACAAACAAAAATGTAGCAACAACTCAATTTGTGTGTTTTTCATTGTTGTGCTAACATGAAAAATATTACTCAGAGTATAGTGACTAAATTCAAATGTAACTTTTTTTTTGCAGATAAGTATGTCATTAAAAATTAGCAGCAATTACCAATTGTAATTTAGCGCGATCAATGTGACAGCTCTGTTGCCCAGCCCTTACTGCACCACTTTTCAGTCAGAATGGAACGTCAAATCAACACTTGATGATTTAGGAATTTAATGATTTTATATTTTTAACGTCCCAACTATGTAACAGTCACATTATATGTACGTCTTAGACATCTACAACAGTACCCAATCTTACAGCATGTTGTTTTTCAGTACAAACTACCATAACTATCTCTCAGCAAACAGCAAAGTGTGTAGTGCAGCCTGACAGCAGGACTCAACAGCGACAGCCAGCTCTGTTGTGCTGGAGCTGTTTTGACTAATAACCTAATGACGGCTTACTATGCATGTCCAAGTTACTTTATTTGGTGTCACTGTGCAATCACTGCGCTGTGGAATTATTTGCATCAAAACCTTCCATATGTAACAGACCTGCAAAGTTTGAAATAATGTAGTGCAGCTAGCTGATAATTGTTAGCTTTTACTGTGCATATTTCTGAGATTTTATTATATGTATTTAATTCTGTGTTGGTTTAAGCTACTGGATTCCTCTGGCATCAATGAAGTATCAATGAAGTGTCCGAATAGCAATTACTCTGGATATTTGGGACCATTTAATGACGCCTATCCAAATATTCGGTCTGACGGGGGGGGGAACGCACAGGCGGTACGTGGCTGCGAATGTTCTGTTTCCATCATCTGCGAATATTCCGATATCCAAATTGCCATCTGGATACCACCACAATGACCGAATATTCAGATATTCGGGTCCAGCCCTAATACAAACCAAGCATTTCATCTTCACATAAGATCAACACCATCTTTTCCAAGTAACTGTTCAAGTCAAGATTCAGGAGGTTAATTGGCATGTGCACAGAAACTAGGCAGTTACACTGTACCATGAAATTCTTATTTTGCTGATCCTCCTTAACCAAATGACACAATGTATAAAAGTGTATAAAAACTAAACAATTACTAAATAAATAAGCAGACTTAACCTGCAGCAATGGTCACAAAGTGCACTGTGCATTTGTAAAGCAGGTTTGGATAAAGGGACTATTGCAGTGACAAAGTGAATGACAGTATTATAAAGTGATTACAGGAGGTGTTGACTAACGAGCAGCCATAGTTCCATAACTCACACAGGATGAAAAAAACAAAGAAATGATTTAGTTCACGCACATGCCACCATCTCTTGTGAATATTTAAAATACAATTAAGCTTGAATTCTTGCCATATGTACATGCGGTGGATCAGTAACATTTCTCCTGTACCCTTGACCATATTTTGACTGCATGTTTTTGATTTTGTAATTCCAAGTGATAGCCGTTTCTAATTTAGTGACCAAATATAGAAAATAGTCAGCTTATCAGCAGAGGAAAATAACTTTTTAGACTTCTGGAGACGACACTGCATTAGTTCCAGTTTCAGTTGGACATGTAATTATTTTAAACATAAAAATACATTAGTCTGTGTAATGATGTCTTATTTCATTCTATCACTATGCCTGTCTGCAGTCTGTTAGAAACCTGGGAGTGAAATCAGAGTCCTGGAGAAGAAATTTTCTTTGGGTTTCATTGGTCCCTACTCTGATGACAGAAACCAGATTTTTCATGAATTTAAAAAAAAAAACAGTTCTCCGAAGAACAGATAGCAAGAGTAAAAGACAGTAACTCAATTAGCAAGAAAACGTTATATACAAGATTATACACATAAACATACACATCTCATAGACACTGTGTTTAAAGAGACAGAGACAATTGCTGTGTGTCTTTTTGTTTTGGGATATTTTTAAAACCTAGCTGAAACACAAACAAGTAAACAATGGAAAATACACAAATCATTCCTATTCATGTTTACTTGTCACACTGCCTATGCCGCGGTCTGTATTATTTATACATGTTTATGTTGGCCTATTGCCTGTGCATTGGTTAAATGCATTGCTTTGGACCCTGAGGAATAGATTTACATGGTAAACAACTCATGGTCACACACGCGCACACACACACACACACACACACACACACACACACACACACACACACACACACACACACACACACACACACACACAAATCAAGTCTAAAGCAGTCTGTCTTTTTTTTTAGCCTCAGTAATTTGCTGCTCCTCTTTCTACACTGATGCAAAGTCTGCAAATGCATTTTCCATGTCAAATGTAGTTCTATCCATAATAGACATTTCTAATCATTTTAAAGCTTACATCAATCCTTCTAATTAATTCTTTCTTTTTCCATTGAAGATGTCAACAAGATGATCCCTAAATATCCTCAGGAAGTTTAACCACTCAGAAAAGACAAGCTGCTGGGATCTGCTCTCCCTGTTGTTATACGGCAGAAAAAAATGAAAAATGAAAAAAATGAAGTGGGGGGCCTGATCCCAATCAGTTTGATCTGATAAATAAATTGACCATTTTTAGGATTTAATGGGAAGAACCCTATTTAGTTGGTGCCTTTTATTCTAATTACAACAAATTTAGTAAACAACATTCTATCACTTGTGTGTGTGTGTGTGTGTGTGTTGCTATTTAAAATGTTACTTGGTTACCTGTTAATTAATATAGACAATGACTCAAACAAAACTTTATCTGTTTTGGGGAACTGTTAGGTAATGTTCTCATAATTCTTTTTTAAAAATTTTTTTTTATTTTTGTATTTTGTATGTTTTGAAAAATTTTCGAAAAAAGACAATAGATTTGTCATGACTATTTTTCATTGCAGGTCAGTAGATAAAGGTACTCACCCTCCTGATCTTCTTTTGCCCCCACGGCCTTGTACGGCTCCTCCCATCCTCACCTGGCCAGACCCAACTGCTCCCGGCATCGCTACTGTCCCTGGCAACTCACTGCCCATTTCTGGAAAATACATCAGCAATAAGCAGAGGGTGAGCAGCAGCATCAGTCAGTGTCCAGGAAGGGTAGGCAATCTTCTCCTGTGGACAATTCTTAGATGCATTTTAGAGGAATCAAGAAGCTTTAAAGCAGCAGAGACACAGAACTCTCAGAATAAAATCGGAGTGAAAACAAGATGTAGAGATTTGTGAGTTGGACCTTCAGCCATGAGTTAAAGTGACACTCTTTGTATTAATGTAACTAAATGCACCACCAATTAATTGATCATGTTTGTTCAACTACATCTGCATGGTGAATAGTAATTTACACAAGATTGTATGACGATCTTTTCACAAGACTGCCCACGCTAACTCAAGCTTACATGAAAGCTTAAAATACAGATTTCACCAAGAAGTATGTGGTTATTTAATGAACTTAAAGTTCTATAACAGGCGTTCTCAGTGGACTTTCAAACTGGAAGAACCATTTGTTCCTTTTTTACTCTGTTCTCAGCAACATATTTCAAAGGCCTGAGTCAGAGAACATTGTGCCAAAAACATGTGAGTGGAAAGTTGTAAAACCCTCTCTTTCTGTGTTTTCTGTAAATGGTTGCAAAGTCTGTAAATGTGTAGTTTGATTTGTGAATGCCAAGGCTGCAGACTAACTTCTCACATGGATTGCAGTGATGCATGTATGTTTTCCTTTTAAGTGCGCACAAAATTGTTTACTATGCCTTTCAGGGTGTTATAGCGGGGATACAGTAACAGACCATGATCTGTTGGAGGTGACCTCTGTTTATTTTGACAAACAAAAATGATTCAGAGAAACCAACATGTAACAGCTGCCTGCTTCAGCTCCTGACCCACACAAGAATAGTACATGTATAACTGGTGTGTCGTCAAACACTGAGTGACGACAGAAAACAGAGTACTGCAAGGTAGCAAATCAAAGTAAACACTATTAGCAGAATGCAAGACCATTACAGTGCATAAAGGACATTAAAACACAAAAAGCAAACTAGACAGCAAAACAAGCATGAGCACATGTCACCAGTGTGGATGGGTACTGAGCCCCGGGGCAACATCTATAAATACTGGAGGATCGATAAGCTCCGACATTAGCGGTATTGCTAACAGTACTTTAGAAAGTAAGAAGACTGTTGTGTTGCATGTTCTATCTCATCACAGTAAGACATGTGTGTGATGTGTGTAAATCCAAAACGGTGCTACAACTCTGACACATAGAACAATCCGATGTGTTCAGGGCGGAGCAGCTCTGAGCAGCACAAACAGATGACGATGGAGGAGAAATAAACATTCAAAAGTATGGTTAAACTTCACTATAGTTGATGCAGAAAACATTTGTTGCCACAAAAGTAACAAGTTGTTTGCATGTCAGTAAAAACACGGTCAATCTGTGGAAACATTCAGTAAAGTTCATCACATACAGACGGAGAATGTTGGACTGCTGTGCTCATAGTTGAGCCCTCACTAACCAGGTACGTTATGTTTGCTCGCAGCCCGAACACAGAGTTAACGAAACATGATTAAAAGTAAGTATTCTCCAGTCGTTTGTTTAACTGGCTGTTTCCATCAATTCAGTCTGAAACACGGAGCATCATCTGAACGGTGGTTCCAACTTTTAGTTTCCTTTTCAGAGCACAGAGCAGCAGGGTTTAGTGATTTGGAGACTGCAGACAAACTCTGTCTTACTTGATTTTCACTGTTTCTTCTGACTAAAGAAGTACTTTAACTGTTTTCTTCACCAAGCTATTAAAATCACACCATAACAATCACACAGTAAAAATACTTTCAAAGTCCTGCATTAATTTTACAACAGGTTTGAAACAGGTTTTATGAGCACAATGCACGAACATCTACTCAAAATCTGTTCACAGTAGAGCTTTTAATTCTGATATAATGTTGGACAGTTTAATGAAACACGTTGCTTAATATGTCCAACTGTTAGAAAAACCTGTGATACTGTCCACAGTGCTCTGATAATCCCATCAACACAACATTAGTGTCTATATAAAACTAAATTCTTATACAGTACGTATGAGAAAATTAAGCATTCTATATACTGTTCTTAACTTGTTTAGTTTTTCTCTTAAAAAACAAAACCAATTCAAAAGTACTGCTAAGAATACCGTTAAAGTACCTGATCGGTAAAAGTAGTGGTTCTGTTCAATTCTTAACGATACCCATCCCCAGTCACTAATACAGTGCTCAGCTTGCACATTATTATTAAGCTGAAACACAACATGAAATTGCAGTAGAGCTGCCACAAATGACTGTTTTTCTATTGATTCAACTATTTTACTTCTCTGAACAATTATTTCTCAAAAAAAAAGAGAAAAATGACCAATTACCAACTGTTTGTTCGTTTACAATGCAGCACAGTACCAATCTGAAAGGTTTACATATTAAAGTGCAAACCTTAGAGTTAAACTGGAAACTTTAACATAATAAAAACACATTAAAGAGAAGGCTCATTATTTGAGTCTGTAATATCCAAAAATATCCAAGTTTCTATGAAACCCCTTGACACAGTGAAAAAGTTCAGTGTATATCTTGAACAACTTGCAGCTTAGACATCTTACAAAACACTGACCAGCCACAGCAACTCCTTTGCTCCTCCTGTGCACCTGCTCTTTTGAGTTTGCATAATCAGGATTTTAGTGGTGCAGAGCAGCAGTTTGGTTAACATTTAATCTCAATAAGCCACGTGTTTGTCTCTATTTTATACTTGCTCCGTTGTCTAGCAACAAAAATAGAAATTATGTAAATGAAAATTTGGGAATTTAACTGCATTACAACACATGTGAGCAGAACACAGATGTAAAGCGCCTCCTGTGTGTTTTTCTTCAGGTGTGCTGCAGTGGTCTGCAATCCAAACTCTGCAGTGTGCAAACCACCTTTATGCTCTCTGATCATTTTAACTACTCCCATGCTCTCAAAGCCTTGGGCCTTAGTCCATTTTTACACTGAACCGAGTCGAGTCCTGTTGCCGCCGCCATCGTCTTCACCTGTCAAACTGACTGCAGCTGACCAGTGACTGTAGCCAAGAACCGACTGGCATCATTACACAGCAACTATGCATTGATACTGAAGAACAACACTGGTTAAAACGAAGTGAAGTTTAAAAAATATTTACAGTCTCAATGCATTTTCAGTGCTGATGTCATTGATTATGCTGATTAATCGCAGCGGACCTGAACTGCAGTGATTCAATGTTATGGCCTACCACAAACATCAAAGCACCTGTGAGTCAAAGCTTTGGACACAGTGTTAAGAGCAGGTAGCAGGGAGCACAGAGAGGAATATGGCAATCAGCTGCAACAACTCGCAGAGGAGACAATCACTGATCTGCAGTGTAAGGCAGAACGTACAGATATGACTGAAGCTGTTGCACTCTAGAGCCCTAAATATGCAAAAGAACCTGTTATCTTCCACACACTTGGAAATGAACTTCCCTGAGGTCAGGCTCACAGGCTCAAGCTAGAAGGCTGCATACTGCTCAACTTGCAATTTCACAACCACTACAATATTTCTGAGACCCGTACAGCTGTCAGTCGACACAGACCTACATACTTTATGCTGGGGCTATAGTGTAGTTTGCAGCCTAATACCAAATTCTATCGTCTATGATGATATTTTAGAAGCACACACGATTCCTTTAAAAGGCTTTTATTCAATATTGATGTGAGTAATGACAATTCATGCTGGTTGTCCGAAATAATACCAAGCCACTGTGCTGTGTATCATTACAGCTGAGACGGTTTATACTGCATGCAAATTCATTGTCCATTTTCCTCTCATATTTACGTCCCTTTATTACAGCAATATTTCTTTCTTGCTTATCCACAAGTCAATTACGTTTGCCTTGCTGTTTGCCTATCTATCTTTCCGCTCGATTCACTCACTCACTCATTTAGTCAGATGCAATGGATAGACCAAACAAACCCTCTGGTATGCCCCAGTGCACCAAGTAACATAGTTAATATTTGATACTGTGTGCATTCCCCTTTAGGCATCTCTGCTTCCATAGAAACACCCACATTCAAAGTGCAGTGAAGGGCCTCCCAAGGAGTAGTATTCTATGATTCATTCAGTGGGTGTTGTAACACATGGCTCTAAACTAGCGTAATCTGATGAAGACACATCTTCATCAGACAATCAGTGCACTTATTTAGCTTAGAAGGAACAGTGTGTGCACACACTCTCACACCAGGGCTCCAGACCAACTTTTTCACTGGTAGCACCAGTGTGACCAACTTTCTTATTTGGTGGCACCTTCCACCTTGTCACAGGCAAAACACATGACTTGCTGAACATCAGCTTAACGATAGACACCACAATTTACCGATGTAAATGTTGAGGTTAATTGGTGATTCTACATTCTCTGTAGGTGTGAATATGAATGTGCTTGGTTGTCTGTCTCTAAGTGTAGCCCTGTGATAAACTGGTGACCTGTCCAGGGTGTCCCCTGCCTTCGCCCTGAGTCAGCTGGGATAGACTCCAGCCCCCCATGACTCTTGTGAGGATTAAGCAATGTATAGCAGGGGTTTTCAAGAAAAAACTGCATGAAGGAGCCCACCGTGCCGAGGGAGCGAAGCCACCAGTGATTTTGGGCTCAAAAACACACAAAAAATACAAAGTTGAAAATGTAATCATAGGTTGCAGATGTGAATTTGAAAAGCTAAATTTAATATAAAATCAATTGAATACAAATATATACAACTATATATGCAGCTATATACACAGCAGGTGTGACTTTCTTTCTGCTTTTATCTGTGCCACTCCTGAAAATAATTTCTGTCCAAACTGAGTACAGGACCTGCACGTCCAGGGACTTTCTTTCACTTTCATTTTGTTGGTCACAAACAAAATCGATCATGGAAAATGACGGAGATTTTGAAAGAAACGCGATGCCCGCAGCGCATATTTCATATGCTTATATTTTACACACGTTTCTGTCACTCTTGTTCATAACATATCTCCGGCTTTACGTGGTCTATCGACATGTTACATGATTAGATCACGCCGGCGTGACAGCAGACCTCGAACGGTTCAATCGACATTTTGGTAAGAGGGCGCAAGCCGGGAGTATGAGGGCACAGCGCCCCTGTAACATTATTTAAACAAACCTCTGTATAGATAATGGATGGATGGTACTGAAGTGCATTTAGGTCTGCTACTGGCCCATAATGTTTTAATTTTTCAAAAATCTAATTGAAATCAATGTTACTAACTGAATATTCTCTGTAATAAATACTTGTAGTCATTTTGTAAAATCTGTGT